TAAGGCAATTCTGCAACTTAAGAATGTACAGACAAAGAGGAAATTGGTGACCATCATATAGACAAGGAGGATTACGAGGTCGTGCAGGAGTCCTGAGTTTGTCTCAGTCTCCAACTAGTGCAGTGTGACCAAATCCATGGCACCACAGCAGGCTCAGCCCCACAAGGCGACACCAGCTAGATCAGGAAAACAATACTGCTCTGCAATTCTATAGTCCGAGGAGCAGACAGGTGTCTCTGCAACCACAGATACAAATCCATGACGACATTGCCTCTTGTTAGCAAGATCAAGCACATTATTCAGTGGCCTTGAAGCAATGAACCCAGCAAAGTAAACATCCAGACTCTAGTCCATATTGGTAAGTGGGTGGAAAGAAGGATGAGGTCATACAAGTAGATTTTAAACCAGTTAGGAAGAGTGTTTTTACATACTTTCAAGAGTATTTTTCCTATGTGACCAGTGAATATCAAAAGAAAAATAAAGGAAATGCATGAGTGACTGATGAGGTGGTGTAGAAGCAGTTGGGCGGTGGTGGTGGGGGGGGGCGGGAGCGGTGTGTTGGTTTCAGATGCTTGACATACATATATATTTATCTGGTTATACCTTAACAGAGCTAGGGTGATGGTTGTAATGGGGCAATTTAATAGTGTCATTAGGAGAGTTTCAGCTAATGTGACAGTGGTATTAGAACCTGAAAGCAACATTAAGTTTACTGTACATTTGTGTAAAGAGTAGATAAGGTTGGCGAGTTGAATGCACAAATGAAAATGGGATAAAGGAGATCTGGCTCAAAAATGGCAAGACTAGGTACATTTTCCTAGAGACAGAAAATTAAGAAAGTGAAGAAAGGAGAATCGGCATCAGCACTAGTTGAGAATATTACAATGTTGGAGAAAAAGGATGTCCTGGAGAGATTACGAACCTAATCAATTTGACTAGAGTTAAGGAAATACAAAGACACCATGACACTACTAGGTTTATTCCATATGCCATGAAATAGTGGTAGAGATGACCAGAGCAGAAAACCTGCAGAGATATTGTGGAAAGATACAAAAATTATAGAGCAGTGATGACAGATGAGTTTAATTATTCTAATATAATTGGGAGCATTAATAGTTTAAAAGTCAGATGGGGAAAAGTCATTTTCAGGATTTTTTTTAGATCAGTCAGCTTGCAGCCAATGAGGAAGCAGGAATCACGATCTGATTCTGAGGAATGAAATAGGTCAAGCAAACAAGTAACAGTCAGTCAATATTTAAGGAACTGTGAGTGGAATATCATATGGTTTTAATTAGCTATGTAAAAAGACAAGGAATAATGTGGTGAAAATTTCTAATTAGAGAAAGGTCAATTTTAAGTGTGGTGAGAATGGCTTTAATCATCTTGGGTAAACTTGAATAAAAGATTGGCAGCAAAAACTAAAATGGAGCCTTGGCAACTTCAAGCTGGAGATCATTTGGATACATTCGGATACATTCAAGGCATATTTTCATCAGATGGGTGGGGAGAAGGGAAGGCAGATCATGTAAAAGAGCTCTCTGGATAACAAGAGACTGAGGATAAAAGGAAACCGAAATATTTATAACATTCCATTGATGATGTGAGAAACAGGCTGAATACAGAAAGTTCAGAGGGGATGTGAGAAATAAGAGAGGCAAAAGAGTAGCATGAGAAGAAACTGGCAAACATAAAAAGGGTATCTGAGCATATGAATAGCACAACAGTAGGAAAAATGTGCGTAGCCAATTAATGATCATGGAGACTTGTGCATGGAAACAGGAAGCATGGTTGAAAAATGAAATTCGAACTTTGCATGCATTTTTCCTGGGAGGAAGATGCTGCCCAAGTCATAATGAAAGAGGAAGTAATTGCGATACTGGATGAGAACAAGAATTGATAGAGATATTAAAAAGGCTGGTATACTTCACGTTAGTCAGTAAGAGCAGATGAGGTGCATTCCAGGTGGCTGAAGGAAGTAATAGTGGAAATTGCAGAAGAACAGACCTTAGGGCGGCACGGTTAGGACTGCTGCCTCACAGTGCCAGGGACCTGGGTTCGATTCCACCCTTGGGCGACTGTCTGTGTGGAGTTTGCACATTCTCCCCGTGTCTGCATGGGTTTCCTCCAGTTTCTTCCCACAGCCCAAAGATGTGCAGGCTAGGTGGATTGGCTATGCTAAATTGCCCGTAGTGTTCAGGGATGTGTAGATTAGATGGGTTATCGGGGATGGGTCTGGGTAGGAGTGTGGACTCGCTGGGTCAAAGGGCCTGTTTCCACACTGTAGGGATTCTAAGAAAATTCTAATCATCCAATCTTTTTTCAGAAGCAGGAGCGGTGCTACAGAACTAGATAATTGCAAATGCTACACCTTTGGTCACAATCAAGTGCAAGGGTAAACCTAATAACTACAGGCCAGTCAGCACCACCTTAATGGTGGGAAAGCTTTTAGCAGCAACAACCCAGGACAAAATTATCAATCACTTGGGTTAACAAAGGAAAACCAGTATGGATTTATTAAGGTAAATTATATGTAACTAACCTGATTGAGGTTTTTGATGAAGTAACAGATAAGGTTGATGAGGGTAATATATGTGTACATGGACTTTCAAAAAGCTTTTACTGTAAATAACAAGCTTGCCAGCAAATTTGAAATCGTTGGAATAAAGGGGGGATAAGTGGCAGCATAGATATGAAGTGCGTGACAGGAAATAACAAGCAGTGGTGAATGCATTTTTTTCAAATTGGAGGAAGCAATATATTTAGGTTCCCCAGGGGTTGATCCTAGGAGTTCTGCTTTTCTGAATCTATATTGCCAAATTAGACCCTGGTATGCCAGACACAGTTTCACAATTTTTAGATGACACAGACATTGGAAGTACAGGAGGATAGTGACTGATTTCAAGAAACAGAGAGAATGATGGCAACGGCAGGCATGAGAGGAAATTTAATCCAGAGAAATGTAAATGGATACAGAGAAGTGATAGAAAATAAAAGGATATAATTCTAAGTGAAGTATTAGAACAAGAATACTTACAGATATAAATGTACAACGATAGAGTGAGTAGGACAGGTTGAGAAAGTGGTTTAGAAAAGGCTGGTTATTAGGAATAAAAGCACAGAGTAAAAAGCAAGAAATTACACAATGATTGGTAGAAATAATAGTCCAGAGCAGCTGAGATGTTGTGTAAATCTCTGACCTCCACATTTTAGGAAAGAAATCAAAGCTTTAAAAGAGTACAGAAAACATTTGCAAGATTATTTCTGGGGTGATCGTCCTCAATTCTATGGCTGGACTGGAAATTCTGGACAGCTTGACAGAGTTGATACAATTCAAAATCATAACAGATCAGGGAACAGTAAATTCAGAGAATCTGTTTCCAATGGCAAAAACACTCATGATAGAGGGCAAGAATTTAAACTGATTCCAAAAATAAAAATCGAAGGTGAAAGGTGAAAAATGATTTTCTCTACAGTGAGTGGTTAGGTATGTGATGGAAGGAGATTCAATTTGGCTTTCAACAGGAAATTGGATGAGCATCTTAAGAGGAGAAAAAGATGCACACTAGTTATGGGAAAGGACAGAGATGAGCGAGTAGTTAAATTACTTGTGAAGTTAGCACAAGTTTGATAAGTTGAATGACCTCCCTTTGAACTACAACTATCTTTTCATTACATGAATACAGCTCTTATTTGTTTGTACCTGGCTCACTACTGGCAAAATCCTTCAATACACAGTACCTTGCATCATTCAGTAGTGCAGTTGTTTGGGAAATATTTGTTTGCATTGTGAAATGCAGAAGCTGGAATGTTTATTGTTGACAAATATTAAATTATTTTGAAGCATTATTATAGAGCCATTATTTGGCTAAATTTGTCCCTACTCTAACGCTTAAATGAATTTTCTGGTTATTTTGGGTGTGTAACATTTGCTGATATTTCCCCATGGCAATTATGATGCAGTCATGCACCATGGTTCCAACTACACTTCATCTATGTTATTCTCATTCTTCTGTGCTCACTTGCCCTTGGCACTGGGAGTAATCTGAAGATTACTACTAATTTTCTTCTCACTTTGCTAAATTCTGATTGTAGGACCACCTTTCCTTTTCTTGCCTAGAACATTGGGTCTAATGGGGATCATGACCTCTGGCTGTTCACCCTCCCTAACAAGAACACTCTGCAGCTATTCCATGACACTAACACCAGAAATGCAATGTACGAGCCTGAGCTCATGCCAGTGGTCACAGAAATGGTTTCCTGACTGAAGAATCCCTTAACACTCTTTCCTCCCTTCCTGTACCACCTGTAGTACTACGTGCTCAGCTCATGAAGCACTCCTCTGAAGGACCCTACCTGCCTGGACTGACCAGAGGTCACCATTCCCTATCTGTCTTCTTTCCCCTAATTTAGGTTTGTGTTCCTCACCGAACATGCTATCCACGTGTCCTCTGTCCTGTGGTTAATAAAGCACAATTCTAACTCATAGATATGAACAGGATCATTAGCTGGCCTTATCTTTTGCCATTTCTGCATGATAGTCTAGAAATACAGAATTGCTGTAAACCTCAATAACTTTAGTCTGACATCTGCTGTGTTTTTTGAGGACACTTTAGACAAATTTCAAGGGAAGTAAAATCACAAATCAGCAATAAATGCTGAAGACACTTTGCAGCAATGGTATATTGTCTGAGCTGTGTCAGTATATCTTAAAAATACTTGTAGTAAAGCTGAGAATTCTCGGAATTAGACTAATTTTAATAGTATATTGCAGAACAATTTGCAATGCATTGATAACAGGTTAAGTATTAACAAAGAAATCCACGATTACACTGGCCCTTATTGAACAAAGAACAAATCAGCATCTTTAAATTGGCCAAGGTGAAAACCAGGAAACAAAGTTATTGATAAACTTTTTGAAAAGCTGCTCAATAAGATGCTAAAATGTAGGATTAGAAAAAGCATGTTAATAAAATAAAACACAACCAAACAATCTGAAAAGGTTTCATGTAATACCACGTTTTTATTTCTTTAAATGGTACAATTTGATTTACAGGCACAATGATATTAAACAATAATTTGCCAGGCATTTTGGCCACTGTGTGGGGACAAAATAGGTCTTAAGGAAAGCAGTGTTCAAGTCACACCATTATAAAAAGAATGTGCAACACACACAAGGAGACCTGGATAAAGATTACAAATATTGCGTCTTATAAATAAGAAATACTGTTTTATACATAAAATTGTATAAGTGTTGCACGTCTTTCCCAACAGCGTGATGATATTTTAGTCAAAAAGCTATAAACAAAGGCATAGGACAAGACATTATGGATCTACTTCTCATGGCAGACAATATTGCATTCCACATTATATCATTGATCATTCTGTGCACATCTTTTCTACTGATAGGACATTAACCTCATACTTTTGATTAATTGACTTCTTTAAAGTGATAAATACTAAGAATGCATTACTGTTATAAAATAAAAAAGATCTGCTCTACCTGCTAGGTACAGTGTCAGGAGAGGCTATTAATAGTAAAACTTCAAAGTAGAAATGTACCTTCTTGCTTCAGGTATTATACTTGGGAAAGAGCGTGCAACTCTTTAGACCTGCCCAGTGCTTATTAGATAAAGTCTGCACTCTTTATAGTAAAACTAATTCAGTGATAGTTTCAAGCACTAAATATGCAATTATAGATGATTAATTTATTAGCAATAATGATGTTCAGCAGTGATAGTAATTACATACAATAATTTGACTAAAAACAAAGCAGGAAAACGCTGATTAAATTTTACATCAAGTCAGTCTGCAGAAGCACTGACAGGATAAAGATAAGGGGGCACACATAACTTTCTCCCCCACTGGGGCATGTGTTAGAAAAGTAACAGCTCTGACTGCCAAACCTTTGCTCTCTCCAGTTTGTATAACAGACTTAATTTATGAATTTTCATCTGGGCCAAGTTCAGGGAATTCTCTTGCTTTAGAACAGACAAAGCAAATGGTGTTTTAACATATTTGGGAGAATTTAGAAAGGTTGAGGGAGGAGGGGGTGGAACATCCAAACTGCTTAATTTAAATACTTTGTAGGACATCTACAGATTAGTAATATTTGTATTTAAAGAATAGTAGCCCTAAATAGAAAATAAAAACTAAGCTGTGTATACAAGCAAGCAAGATACCACAGAAATATGCAGGCAATCAGAAGCAGGTCTAAAACATGGTTTCTATTGATGACAGGATCTTGAGGGTGGGAAGGTAACTCACAGAGCCAATCCTGAAACAATTCTGGAGTATATTTACACAAGAAGATACTCAACATTTCCTCATACTATTCCATGATAAAAAACATTCACACAAAAATATAACATTTGAAATAATTAATAGCACCAGTGTATCAGGTAATTTTATTTTCTTTTGCTACGCAATGTACAAAGTTGCATAGAGTGTCGCTGTAAAAAATATGTTCTGCCTTTGATTTTGACACAGATGAAGCAGCAGTCTTGGGAACGGAAATATAGTGTGATCCACATTAAATGCACGGTGTCAGACACTGCTATGAGCATTTCACTTCGTCACAAAGTAGCTCAAAGTAAGGGAAGCAGGGAGCAAGGGAAATAGTTATTGCATAATTAACTCCATTTTCTAAAGAGAAGACCAGCTTTCATGGTAATTCACAACATTAACCTGGTGAATACTGCATATATTGTTCACGTAGTTACTTATTTACCCCTACATGAATGTGGTATAATGCACAGTTAGGAGGTGATGTGGTAAAAAGTTAAATGTTAATGTGTTAACAATTCTTAATCCTTCACAGCTAGTCTGGTCATTTAAAAAAGGGGAAAATAATACAGTACCATAGAATATAAAGCTATGTTAATACTCATGATGTGAATGCAATAAAGAACCAATGCCTCCAGGCAGCAGGAGGAGAGACAAACCTACATTAATAGCCTTTTTCTTTGTATATTTTAGCCACCATTATGCTGCTTGAGGCTGCCCCACTGCCTTTGCATTGCAGGGGGAGTCTCCCCATTGTGGAGGAAGGTCTGATAATTCACTAATCTAATTGTGTGGAGTGACTTAAGTCAAAAGCATACAGTGTGGCTTTCTCAGATTGTCCTTCCAACAGACTTGGTTCATCTGGAATCCCAGTAGCTTGCCATGTAGGTATGTCACTCGCACCTGCTCCATGTCCATGATCTTGTGCTTCATCCAAGCAGCTGCATTTGATGCCTGAGGAGTTTCATTTATGAGCCTTGGAATACTTAATGATGTTGTCAGACATTGAAAAAAAATTTGGTAATAAGGCAATTTCTGTACAATGTCATTCTAGGTTTTGGGTAGGGGATGATGACCATGAAAGTGACTATGGGGTCTCCAGAGACTGGGTATTGTAACACCCAGGAGGTAATGTTTGTTTGATGTCCTCTAGGTTTTTGATGTCCTTCAGGATATCTTCAATGTCTTGCTCATAGGAAATTATCGCATTAGCCTGCTCCTTTTCAGCCTTTTCCAGATCTGCCAACTTCCGTTCTAAATCACTATCCTCCATCTGATCCTTGGCTTTCTTTAGAATGTTCTCAATTTCTCCAAGCCGGTTAACATCTACATTATCAAGTTGACCTGTAAAAATAAGCCCAGCCAAAGTAATCAATATTCCAGTGTGACAAGGAACTACTTGATAAATATACAGCCTCAAAATTCAAACCGTATCATTCACACTTAAAACTGCAGAAGAAATGCTAATTTCAAATGTTGGGGTTTAAGGGATGCTTGGCTAACAAATAATTAAATGTAGTTTCATCCAACAATGCCAAGTAAACGGACCCTTGAATAAAATAAACTGCTATCAAGTCACACTTTAAATAATGTCTGTCATCAGGATCATAAAGGGTATTTCACCAGACAGATGTTCTTTGTTAGTTACTAGACTGAATGAGAGTGGAAGCATCTTTTCTGGTCCATGAGATGGGAGCAGTGGAAAGGACACTGCAAAACCCAGCCATGGAACTGGGAGGAGCTGGCATCAGCGTTGTGGAGAAATTCAGTTTGGTGATTCTTGGAAGACGGAGGGATATTACTTTGGATGTCACAACTCACTGAAATTAGGAGAAGAAAGCACAGAACAGGTCCTTCGGCCCTCCAAGCCTACGCCGACACATTTTACCCATCCATACTAAAACTGTCTTCACTTACAGGATCCATACCCCTCTATTCCCTTCCTATTCATGTATTTATCCAGGTGCTTCTTGAAAGCTGCTATTGAGTCTGCTTCCATCACCTCCTCTGGCAACGTGTTCCAGGCACTCACCACCCTTTGTGGGAAAGATCTGCCACACACATCTCTTTTAAACTTCCCCACCCTGAACCTGTGTCCCCTAGTAATTGATTTCTCCACCCTGGGAAAAGGCTTCATACTTCCCACTCTATCCATGCCATTCACAATCTTATAAACTTCTATCATGTTGCCTCCTCAACCTCCTGCGTTCCAGTGAAAACAAACCCAATCTATCCAACCTTCCTTCATAGCTAAAATCTCCTACACCAGGCAACATCCTGGTAAACCTTTTCTGTACCCTCTCCAAAGCATCCACATCCTTCTGGTAGTGTGGTGACCAGAAGTGTATGCAATATTCCAAGTTTGGCCTAACTAAAGTTCTATAAAGCCGCAGCAAACTTGTCCATCCTTATACTCAATGCCCCTTCCAATGAATGCAGGCATGCCATAGGTCTTTTTGACTACTTTATCTACATACTCAGCCACCTTCAGTGATCTATGGACCTGCACACCCAGATCCCTCTACATATCAATACTTCTAAGGGTTTTGCCATTCACTGTATAAAATTCCATCGCTCATTTTTCTGCCCATGTCTCCAACTGATTTACATCCTGCTGTGTCCTCTGACAATCCTCCTCACTATCCACAACTCCAGCAATCTTTGTATCATCTGCAAACTTACTAATTAGACCAGCGACATTTTCCACAAATCATTTATGTAGATTATGAACAACATAGGTCCCAGCACTAATCCCTGTGGAATACCACTGATCACAACTCTCCATTCTGAAAAGCATCCTTCCACAGCTACCCTCTGTCTCCTATGTCTAAGCCAGTTCTGTCTCCAACTTGCCAGCTCACTCCTGATACCATGCGACTTCACCTTCTGTACCAGTCTGCCATGAGGGACCTAAATATTACACTGAACTCTGTAGAATGGTAATGTATGGTTATGAGTGGGAACATCTTTTGTGTAGGGTATGGTATTAGCTGCCTACTGAGTAATATTTAATTGATTTGGCCTTTAGTGGGTTTGCTACAATAAATGTCTTAAAACGTGAAGTAAAACATTGTTTTCAAAGATTTCAGTATCTAAGGGCATCAAAGCACAAGAATAACAGATAAATTATAAAATCCAAATGTAGAAACTGCAATGTATCTTAAATTAATACCAGCCTTGACCCTAACTGGATGGCCACCAGAAAAGTGGTTATTTGTACAAATTATAAATTGTTGTCTAAACGATGTATTATGATGTAGCTGTGCATGTCTGCCACAACCTGGGAGTTAACATTAACATTGCTAGTGATCGGACAGAGTGGTGTATTTTGCTGTTTCTAACAGATAGGGTAGAGAGCATTTCTAACTAGCTTTGACTTGGTAGTTGTCCCTTGAAATCATTACAACATATTAAGCATCCCTCAGTCTAATTTTACAGAAGCATTGCAAATTTTAAAAAAAAATCAACAACAGTCTCCAAAATTACAAATGTGAGTAGAAACAAAGCTAAACATTCAATCACAAGTATTACTGTGATCAAAGGAAGCTTTATAGGGACAGGAATTGGTCATTTAGCTCTCGAGTCTACTTTGTCACTTCATGGCATGATAGCTGATCTGTGATTTAATTCCTTTTGCCCGTATTCTTTTTATCAAATTTGTCAAAAAACTTACTTTTAAAATCAATTAATCTAGCATCAATTTTAAAATGTCTACCATCTTTTGTATGTAAAAAAAAGTTTCTTAATTTCACTCCTGAAAGATTTGATTTTGTTTCTATTTCAGAATCTAACCGACGCCTGTATTCCCTAACCCATGGAAATAGTTAAGAGAAAGTAAGAACTGCAGATGCTGGAGTCAGAGATAACAGTGTGGAGCTGGAGGAACACAGCAGGCCAGGTAGCATTAGCGGAGCAGGAAAGTTGATGTTTCGGAGCAGGACCCTTCTTCAGAAATTATTTCTGAAGAAGGGCCCCCACCTGAAACGTCAACTTTCCTGTTCCTCTGATGCTGCCTGGCCTGCTGTGTTCCCCCAGCCCCACACTGTTATTATTACCAAGGAAATTGTTCTATCTACACAACCAATTTCCCATAAACCTTGAAAACTCAGATCAAATCACCACATAAATTTCAGGAAAATGAGTACATTAAGCCTAGGAGTGCAGGTATTATTCTGGTAGACAGGCACTGTACTCCAAGGACCATATATCTTAGAACTGTGCACAGTCATCCAGGTGCATTCTAACCTAGGTTATGATAACTGAAGCAAGGCTGCATTCCTTTGCACTCTAGCTCATTAGATATAAAGGAGGTGGCCATGGCATAGTGGATAGAAGTCTGCCTCTAAGCCAGAAACTCTAGGTTTGAGTCCCACCCAGGACTTGATGGCTAAGGAAGATGTGTTTGTAAGACATCCAAAAAAAAAAAGGAGTACCAACATGCAAATCCTTCTAACACACAGCAATGGGAGGCAATGAGTGCAGGAGAAATTCTTGGACAACAATATGACACAGTGAACTTTGGAGATTCTACCAAGGCTATCAAAAGGTTTGAATTATAACATTTCTGTAAAAGTGCATGATGTCACGGCACCTCAGCCTCCCTCAGTGAAGTGAAACATCCATTATAAAGTCCAATATTGCATTAGATTTTGATTACTTTTCTATTCCTATCCATGACACTTTGATGTTTATGTGCCTTGACCCCAAAGTCCCTTCGTATCTCCAGCGTTTCTAGTTTTCACAATTTAGAGATTATATTTTCTATTTTCAATTCAAGGTGGATAAAATAAAAACATTAAAATATTAGGTATTAATTCAGAATTTAGCAATTTAGTGGAGATTGTAAATAATACTGGTTTTCCTGTTGACGAATAAAGTAGTAGATTTTATACTGTAGGTGTTACTGTTATGAATTAATTTGTGCATTTGTTGTCTAAATTCACTTCACAGTTAATGTTTAAAACAAGATCTAATGCTGTGACTACTGGTTTTTAAACTGCTTTGCATGTCAAGACATCATTCTGAAAGCAGCTAATAATTCCATTCTCTAGAAAATTAAATTACAAGGTTCTTTAGTTAGTTATTCAGACAAATTACTGATAGAACACCAAGATATTGGGACAAGTGCAGATGTCTCCTGAGCTTAGAGAGTGTTGGGGCTCATCTAGGCAAGTAATTTGAAATATGGAAGTGGAAAAGTCGACAGTAAAGGTGGGAAAGGTTGCCTGTAGCTTCACACACCCAATACAGAAACTTGCACTGGACCAATCAATCTACTTCTTTGTACCAAAGTGACTGAAGAGGTATTTATTGAGGAGTTTGGCTGTTTTCCCTCTGAAGAATCTCAAAACATCTGGGGAAGGTAGGAAACTTGTATAAACCATCAAGACAAAGTGGATGCATGGGTGTACACAGAATTGTTGCATCATTCTTCATTGAAATATAAGTCAAGATAAAATGAAGTTGAATGAAAAGTCTAATTTAAATAAATGGGATCACACGGATGTTGGGAATTTAAACTAAAAGCAAAAAATGTTGGAAATACTTAGGTCACACAACACCTGTCTATACGGTCATGGATGCTGCCTGATTACTTCCAGCATTTTCAAGTAAATAAATGGAACATCTCTACAAATAATGTTTAATATCCACAAAGTGCCTGGAAAGAAGATACGTTACATCTCCCATTCTAGAATGAGCCAAGCAGAACAACAGTAGTAATCTGGCAAGTGCAGAAGGTTTTATGTTAAGATCAGAATTGCTCTACCTACCATTTTCTCAGAAAAAAATCAAATACAAGTGTGTCAATTGTAGAAAGGATGGAGGATAAAATTAAACATTCAACATTATTAAAATTGTTTCTCAATATTATACTGCAGGCTTATTTCACTTAAAATGAGCAGTTATTTTACGTTGTAGAATAGTTATACTTTTCAACACCAGATGCAATATGAACTTATCCCAGAGTACACTTGGTTTACAAACTAGTATTTTGTAGCTATCTGGTAATGTTCATCACTGGGCCCAAAGTTTTAGCCTAGGTAAAAGCTCATGCACAACAATGTCCCGTGGTATCACGGAGTTAAGTTTTAAAACACACTGAACATTTCACACCATGCAATATCTGCTCATCTTAAAGAAACACTAACCTCCATCTTAATTTAAAAAAAAATGCAGATGGTCAGGTGTGTTATCAAACCATCCTAAGAATTTTATAAAATCAAGTTGTTTTAATTGGTTGTCAGAGGCTGCTATCTAGAAAACCTAACTTGTCATAATTGCTGTCATTGTCACAAACAGGGATAAACCTCTAATGCTGCATTTTCTACTGCCCGAAACATTTCCTTAGTGACTGCTCTCAGTGTTTCTATAGATGACATCCTGTTTGGCTTGCCTGGTGGTTCCTATAGCAATGAGATAAACTTTCAATGAATTCGTATGTCACAATCAACCTTTTTTCGATCAATGCTGCAACCGTCACACTGACAGAATGGTGAAATTACTTTACTGGCTTGAATGGTAGGTGGCAGCAACTCATTCACTTCACTGCTGATGGACATGGGCTTCTGACAGCCTCTATTTGCTGTCATGTTGCTGAAGGCACTGTGGTTCAACACCAGCTATTTTACTTCAAGCACTGTGCCTGTGGCTACATTGTTTACACTTGTCGCCAACGACACAACGACTACTAATTGAAAATCGCAAACATAAGAGGCTAGAAACTTGGGAAAGTTTTCCATAAAACAAAATGCATGTAGCTGGGAGCCATGCAAAGGAAAGGCCCAGTGCCAGCCTTTACCAGAAACTTAACTGTGTCTATGTAACGCAAGTCCGTTGCTTCATTTGATCAGCCTAAGTTAGGCAACATAAGACCACTAATACTTACCCAGTTCTCCCAACAACTTATTGATGGTATTTAGCACACCCTGCACAGCCTTTTTGGCCTTTCTTGCCTGCTCATCTGCCTCTTTTGCAGCTTGAGAAGCCTGAAGGAACAATGTGACATCATGGTTAGAATTCTAAAAATGCATTATGTATTTCTGATCTGATGTAATTGACCAATTGTACAAAAATAATTCTGGCAGCTCTTCATGCCAATGAATTTTAAGAAATCTGAATAACCTCACCATATCTGCCATCATCATGTCTTGGTCTGCTTCATTCTTCTTCCCCACAAGTTCATCCTCTGCTTCTTTAAGTCGATTCATCATGTTACTGACTTCACTTTCCAAGGTCATGGCATCATTAAAGGTGTCATCAGCATCCTGCTTCGTTTTAGCAGCATCCTACAAAGGCAATCATTGGCCAAGGATTTAACCAACAGCTAAAAGCTGTACTTAATCAAAAGGCCGTGGCACTCAAGTGAAATGGCTCAATTGTGTCTGGACCTACAATTTTTCTTTGAAATGCTCAATTATTCCTTAACTTGCTGAAACAGGTAACATGGATGCTCTGAATAGTAATAGTCACAGTTTTGTTCCAGTAACACATTTGCCCAGAAACCCTTAAAAACAGTATAAAATTTCACATACACTTGCAGATATATAATTCATTCACTTTAATCAGCTATGTTGCCTTTAATTTAGTTACCTAAATTTTAATGTTGATACCACCTATAACATGGAGATCTAAATCAATGGATATTTCATACTACAAAGATTAAGAGTACACATTGCCTAACTGTATTGTCTACTCCAATCTCGATCTGGATAACAGCAAACATTTAATTCTTATCCAGTTATCAGGTAGAACAGATATAGATCAGCAGCCCCCATTTTCAAAGGAATGAGGGCTGATGGTGAAATCACCCACCATAACAAAAATGATAATATCCAATTTTATGTTAATTTAAATATGCAGCTTTAATTAAGATTTCTATCAGATATTGTATCATCTTAAAAGGTAATAACAAAACTAGACAAAATTTAATTTTTTTGTAATTTCATGGTATCTTGTGGGCTAATCCAGTCAAAGTATTTGCAACTGTATATCATTCTGAATTGATCTTCCAGAATTCAAGGTTGAATACATATTAAAGTATTAAATATATTGTGTTTGCAAACATCTGAGGGTGAAAGAGTCAAGGTCCAAGGTACTGGATCAAAATTTTCCACTGAGAACAGCAAATTGTGTGTTATTAAGAGTAATACCCAGTGAAAGGAGGCTACGAGGAAGTTTAGAAGATTTGATACAATTATTATTTGAAGTTGTTGACACAAAATGAAAACATTCTTACCTCCTGTAACATTTCTGCAATTTTCTTTGCATCTTCAGCCTTTTTTTTGGCTTCAGATGCATCCATTCTTGCATTACCCAATGCATCCTCAGCCTGTTTTGTCTTTGCATTGGCTTCATCAATGGTCTTCCTGATGCCTGGTATCTTTTTCAAAGCTTCTTCAGCTGCTGTCTTGTTGTCGTTCACTCTCTTGTCAAAATCTGCATGAAAATAAATCATTTTGGCTATGAATACTTGGACATGATTCAGAGCAGCTGCTGTTCCCTTGGTTAACATTTATTCGTTTATTGGCATCAGCGTAACCACTGGCAAGATGAGCTGCATTTTTCTTTTTACTCTCTGGAGTAATTTTAAACAGCAACAAAAGTCCATTCCATTTCAAAAAGTACATGTGACCACACTCTTGAGATAAGTCACTTTGGTAAAAAGGGTGCAGGAGGGGGCATGGTTGATGAAGGGAAGACAAAGAAAGGAAGGAAACAACATCTTCTAAGGTTACTAATCAAATACCAGAGTGGTGTGGCTAACTGAACAGAAAGGCTAGGTATAAATGTAATTATACTGATGCTTTATTCTGTCCATGTACGTATATGTAACATTTTCCTCAAGTTATACAAGTGACAGAATAAACAAAAAATAAAGCTAAACTTGACCAAGCGAAGATGTGAAGAAGGACATCTAATTAGGACATGAAAAGAACAAGAAAACATACATCTCTGCTAAAACATTGTTTTCAGGATGTACAAAACTACTTCAAAGTCAACTGAATACTTGCGAATTGCAGTCATTGTTACTTCACAATTGACTAGATTTACATATGCAAGATCTCAAAAGACAAGGTTATGTGTTCAAGTCCCAGAATCAAATAATTATTCACAAACATCCCCACTACAATACTTTAGAAAAGGAAATTACTCAACATAAATCTATAAATAATCAAAGTAGTTAAGAGGTAACTATATGTACTAGTTTTAGAAACTCAGTTGTATTGACCTAGAATATTGCGCAATTTTAAAGAAACTGCAACCCAAAGAAAGGAGTGCCCAATTCCAATTAATCATTCAGTACACAAATATTCTCTGTTCTCTTTCCCAAGTTCTTCTAATGTACTAAGAGCTAACCAGAAGAACCATCTGGTCTTGACTAGAAAATGGTCAAGGCAAAAGTCTTTTTTTAAATTGGGGGCATATTACATTTTATTAGACTAGGTACATCAGTTTACAGACCTTGCAAATTTTTCAGAATATCCTGAGCCTCCTGCAGGGTAGCCTTTCCCTTCTTGGCAGCATCTTCAGCCAGGGCTTTAGCTGCATCTGCACGGGCGAGCAACTGGTCAGCAGTCTTTAAGATACAAAATAGATCAGAATGAATATCCTGTCAGTCATCTATGGATTGCAGTTTGCACGTTTTTTTTTTATAGCCATAAACCTCAGGTTCCATTATTATTTGGGTTATTCAAATTTTTCCAATGCTTTTATGATTTCCAATACTTCAGTCATATACACTTTAAACTCAAGCTTCTTCAAAGTGAACATACTCTAAGCCTACTCGAAGGTTTATCGACCTTAATTTAGGCATCCTCCTTGTCCTCCTCTGCAAACATTCTAAAAGCTCAAATAGCTATTACTAGACGTACAGGCTAAAACTGTGCGCAGAATACGCATGTGGATGAACCAGGTCCTTATACAGCCCAACAGTAAAATCAGTTTTGCACTAATTATTTAGTAGAAACCCATTTGGTTCCCTCATAGTTCATATAATTGTTATGGTGATGGTGCTGGCCATTTGGTCCATCATATCTGCACTAGCTTACTGAGCATTTTGACTGTGCCAATATTCTGCCTTTCCCCTGTAACCCTGTGCTTTGTTTCAACTGAAATATTCATCTAATGCCCCCTTGGAATGTCTCACGTAAACCTGCCCCCCACCATATATCCAGGCAGTGCATTCCAGACCCAAGCTATCTCACCTTTGCTTTTGTTTTTGCAAAACAATTCAAAACTGCACCCTCTCATTCTTGATCCGCTTAATGAGCAGGAACAGTTTCTCCCTATCTGCTCTGTCTAGAATCCTCATGATTTTCAAAACTTCTATCAAATCTCCCGTCAGCCTTCTCTCCAAGGAAAACAGTCTCAATCTCTCCAGTCGAACTGAAATTTCTTATCCCTGGAACCATTCTCATAAATCTCTTCTGCACTCTCTCCAATGCATTCACATCCTTTCTAAAGCGTGGTGCTCAGAATTATATACAATACTCCAGTTGAAGTCTAACTTTATAAGTTCAGCATAACCTCGTTTCTCTTGTACTGGATCTCCCTATGAACTGTATACCTTATTAACAAGTCTCTATATCCATCCTGTCACCTTTAATGACTTATGCACGTATACACCCAGGTCATACTGCTCCTGCTCAACATTTAGAATAGTACCCTTTATTTTATACTGTCTCTCCATATGCTTTGGAGCAAGGCCCTTCAACAAAGAAAAAAACTGCTCTAAATCTACACTACTCCCACTCTGCAGCACTTAAGAGTCATAGACATAAATAGCATGGAAATAGATCCTTCTGTCCAACTCATCCATGCTGAACAAATATCAATTAATAAATTAATATATAAATTAATTGAGTCCCATCTGCCAGCATTTGGTCCATATCCCTCTTAAACCCTTCCTATTCACGTACCCATTCAGATGCCTTTTAAATGTTGTAATTGTACAACTCTCTGCCACCTCCACTGTACCCTCTCTAATGCAATCACATCCTTTGTATAATGCAGTGACCAGAACTGCACACGTTACCCAGCTGTAACCTCCCTGCTCTTACTATCTATTCCACAACTGATAGAAGCAAGTATGCCTTCTTAACTACCCTATTAATAAGCATCCGAAGATCTCTCTGTTCCTCTGAGCCTTATAGTGCCCTGCAATTCATTGAATACTCCCTTGTCTTGTTGCTTCTTCCAAAGTGAATCACCGTATACTTCTCAGGGTTAAATTCCATCTTCCACTAATCTGCTGATTTGACCAACATCTGCTTATATCCTCCTGTAGCCACCTTCTTCATTATCAACAATTTGGCCCATTGTGTCACCCACAAACTTATCATCCCTTTACATTTTCTTTTATATTGTTTGTATCAGCAAATAATAAAGAATCCAGCACTGTGGTACACCACTGGACACTGGGGGGTTCCAGTCACAAACAGCCTTCTAACACTATCCTTGATTCCAACCACTAAGCCAATTTTGCATCTAGCTTGTCAAGTTACCTTGGATCACATGTGCTTTCACCTTCTTCATCAGTCTCCTATTTGGGATCTTGTAGTTTATATAGATTTCAGCAAAGCCTTTGACATCAACTGCACCACCCTCATCTACACATCTGGTCACCACCTCAAAAAATTCAATCAGATTTGTTAGGTATGACCTCCCTCTGACAAACCCATGCTGACTATCCCTGATCAAATCTTGCCTCTTGCAGTGGAGATTAATTCTTCTTTCAGAATTTTCTCCAATAGTTTTCCTACTTCTGATGTGGGACTCACTGGTCTGTAACTCCCTGGTTTACCTCTACCATCCTATCGAAAAGGTGGAACTACATTAGTTGTCAAGTCCTTTGGCACCTCCCCTGTCGGCAGAATGGAATTAAAAATTTGGGTCACAGCCCCTGTAACTTCCCTGTCTCCCACAGCAGCCTGTATTACAATTTGGATTTATCCATGTTTAAGCCTGTAAAAAAGTTTGAGCTAGCAATGGGTCCACAAACTCTTCACACCCAATGTCAAACTGCTCAAGAACCTCGCAGTCCCTGTTCCTGAACTGTGTATCTATACCTTCCTTCTCCAAAGTGAAAACAGATGTGAAGTACTCATTTGACATTCCACCAACGTCCTCTGGCTCCAAGCACAGATTGCCCTCACTAGCATGTGGTACCAGGAATAATCCAGAGATTACAGGCCGAGAGGTTCTGCTCTTTCAACAACTGCCTAGCTCCCTAAATGCTTGATATAATTTCGTCCCTCACTGGTTCCAATGATATAGGTAGATTGTATACCATGATGTCAGTCTTGTCAGCCTCCCACTTCATGATGCCCAATATCCACTCATTGACATCCCTGACCCTGTCACCAGGAAGGCAATACTTCATCATGGAGTCAGGTCCATGGCTGCATACAGTTCTAACTGTTCCCTTAAATAATAATCCCCTAATGCCATTGCTCCTGTTGTCGTCTTCCTCCCCTCCTGTGGTGCTAGAAACCTGGCTCTTTCTGTACTCCCTTGAAGAATAGCAGCCTCATCAGCTTCCAAAATGGAAACCTAGATTTGTGAGCATTACCCCAGGGGACTCCTGTACTCCCTGCCAGATTCTCTTTGACTGTCTGGTTGTCACCCATTTTCACTTTCCTCCAGTCCCTTGAGCTGTGGTGTGAGCCCCTCTCTAACGGTGCTCTCAGTCTCACAGATGTGGCAATGTCTCCATCTGCCACTTGAGGTATGAAACACTGAGCTCAAGCTTCTGCAGTTGGGAGCACTTCCTGCACACATTGGCATCTAGGATGCTGGCAGGATCCATGATTTCCCACATATGACAAGTCACACATTCCACTCGGTTGACCTCACCTGCCACGTCTTGAACTTAATTAGTCTCACGTGCTAACTTTTCTAATTACTTAATCTTAAAGATACTCCCATTATGTTAATGTTAGCTCCTCCTCTTATTCTCTGACTTTCCTTTTCGCTAGTACTTCTCAGATAATACAGTTTAGAAACTGGTTTAAATTAGATTAACTGTTAGCCCCAGTTAACTATCCAAGCTGCAGCAACTCCACCCACAAGGTCAGATTTTTTTTTAAAAACTTTTCTCAGTCCTAAAAGAGATTTAACTCTGTACCTTTTAGAATTAAATCCCAGCAAACAATACACATAATCAAAGAACTAGCAGCAATTGGTACCAGATTCTAGACCTAACTCCATCTACCACCTAGCTGTCCAGTCCATAATTTGTCAGCATCCTTTTTAAAGGTTTAAACTATCCTACTCACATTTTTCAGTTCTAAAGTTTAGTGTCATTTACAAACTTTGAAATTGTACCTTGTACACCAAGCACCAGATCATTAATATATATCCTGAAAAGCAAGGGCCTGAATGCCAACTCCACCATAAACCTTCCTCCAACCAGAAAAATATCAATTAACCATCACCTGGTTGCCTACTTCTCAGCCAATTTTGTATCCATGTCGATACTGTCACTTTTATTCCATGGCCTATAAGTTCCCTCAAGTCTGCGACTTACACTGTGTCTGAGCCTTTAATGCACCTGGTAACTACACCAGGTTCCTTTTCAGCTTTTTTAAATTTAATGGGTACTCATGCTTGGTGTTGAGATGACTTAAGTCTTCTGGCTTTGTATACAAGATCACACTTGTCTATATATAGAATTTGTCATTTATCCAACAACTCACTTCATTAGAAAGTCAGTGCAAGTCTCCTTATCGCCACACATTCACATATGGGCAATAAATGCTCCTGTAGCCAGCCACACCCATGTCCCACAGACAAATTAAAAAAACCTCTTGGCAGAACTTTAAAATAATCCAATGGTCAGTATTTCTTCAAACAAAAAATTTATTGATACATGAGGTGAGCTTCCTAAAACAATAGAGTGTTCTGTTTCTAGTATCTTGTACAATGCCCGTAGTTAATGAGCTCACTTCTCTATAAAGATACCTGCCAAGAATTTGCTACCATTCTATCTTTGATTTAGGCCTTTGGTGATATCTTGTCATTAAAATTTAAGTGTCATATTCTCATCATGTTCGCTTATCACTCCCTATTCCAAGGCTTGCATGCCTTATTCAAGGTCAACCTCCACATATCATCTTCTTCCAACACTCTCCTTCACCACATTCTAACAAGTGATAAAAGAAAAATTAAAAAGAATATAATTTATTAGTGAGAAAAAAGGGAGGTGGAATTAACATTTAATTCACATGAAACATTTTGGAAAGAATTAAGCAAAATGCATAAACACAGAGTTAGGTTTTAAATTTATACAACAAAGCTGGAATCTATGTTTTACCTGCTGTTCAGTTTTCCCCTTTTCCAAAAGGCTCTTAACTTCAGTTTCCTTTGCTTTCAGGTCATCCCGCATGTCTTTGTAATCATTCAATTTTCTGTCAATCAAACCATCCAAGTCTGCTGCATCCTTTTTAATCTTTTCTGCTTCATTCTAACAGATAGGAATGTCATTTTATTTTATTTTACATAGAACATACAAGCTCTCCCAACAGTACTCTCATTGTAAAATATGACCGTTTGTACAACATAATTCCTTATTATGAATGACCAAGTTAGCAAATGGGATAATTTGCCTTAGTTGATAAACTATGTGATAATGTGCTTATTTCAATTTATCACCTCCTTCCCCCAAGCATCTGAAAGACTATGATGCACTTAGTTAATGTAATGTCATTGTAACAAACCTCTGCTCTTCCAATTCAAGGTGGGTGACCACTGGAAAATCCTAGTGTTTGTTTCCAAGAGCATTGCTCAGCCTCTCCACCTATAGCTTTCAAAATACTTCTCATAAAAGACATTGCAAATAAGACAGAAAACCAAATACCTCTAAACTCTTGGTGTCCACAACAGGCAAACTCGTCAGATTAGCATAAATTTGTAATGCTTTACTGCCAGCTTCTTCTGCCTCACTGTGTACTTTGGTAGCTTGTTTTTCCAGCTCCCTGGACATATTTTTTGCTGCATCATACCTATTTACGAGTTTTACATCAGTTAAAATACAATATGTAACTATAGGCAGAACCATTAATACATCCTAAATGTTCCAATTTACCATGACACAGGTTTTTATTAAAAGGCTGCACCGAAATTCCACCTTTAAACAATCCTTGCTGAGATTGGCTTATTTTCAAGGGTTCTATAATACACAGAAAGTAAGATTTGCTGCCTAAAATAGATTAGGAGCACCAACATCTGTGTAGGTGATTGATTCACAATATCCTTCAAGATCCCATCTCAACCAGCTATATTTTTATTCCATTGTCAAAAAGACAGATTTTTTGCCTTTTCCATTGATGCAATCAAAAGTGCTTCAAAAATCACCAGAAGGTCAAGCAAACCAAGTCCTGAGAGCTTTTGCCCTGTGCTTTTTACTGTACCACATCACCCCAGCTTGCTCAAGCGATTTTTGAAATTTGAGGAATATCAAGATCAAAATTGATTTGGAATACAATGAACAGAAACAAATGTTAAAATACTACCTTTTAATAAGACTACCTATTCTTTCAAGTAGAGGAGCTCACTTTGGGTAGACATTGCAAATGCAAGTTGGAAATAAGTACAGAAAAATTAACGCAATGTCTATCGTTGAAATATTTCACAGGCACTAACAGACGTATTACCATTGAAAGCATTTATGGCCTCTGCATTAGGAACACGATCTGTTGCGTGTATTTTTTCTGTTTGGTACATTTTCTAACATGCTTATTACATTGTCCTAGGACTATTTAGGGGTTCCAAATCCTTCTGGGACATCTCAATGCTTGGCAATTAGAATTAACTTGTTAGTCTATTGCTTCTTTGATCAGCGGGTTGAAAAAGCTGGCAACTTTCCATCCACAGCAGGTGTCTCAATATTTAGGGTAAAATTCTTATTAACCACTTGCTACAAAGACAGTTGGATGTCTGAATCTGGCACACTTCTTCATGGTATGTTTGTAACAACACAACCTCTGGGATTTCAAGCTGGAATTAGTTTATTGACAAACTGGCACCTTTGTCAGTTACACCTTGACTTTTAACTTTAAGACCGAATAGATGGAAATTAGTTACAATCATGGCTCAAAAATGTTACTCAATAAAAACTCAACTCACAAATATGCTTCCTATTAATTATTTTCTTAACAAATCAGATTCCTCTATCCAAATACCGCTCCTCAGGACTAGTTACAGAGACAGTCAGAATAACTTATTTCAATTTAGAAAGCATCAGAACGTCAATTATAACAGATTAAAAATTTAAAGTCTGAGATTATAATTTATATCCTCTTGTGCCCAGAAGTCATTCTTAATAGATATTTCCTTTGGTACAAAGGTTGGTAGGTGTTCATCTCATTTCTCAGATTATAAACTGACATAAATTCCTAACTCATTAATACTATAAATATGCTAATCATCCTTACAGTTCAGGTGTAAAGTATTTACTATCACCCACTTACTTTTGGTTTAAGTCATCAATTGCGTTGGTGATTTCACTTTCTTCTGCTAATGTTTTACGCAGCAGCTCATAAGCTTCAGTTGAGGTGTCATTAGCATTCTTGGCTATCTGCTCAATCACATCGGCTTCATTTTTATGTCTGTAGAATCGAATGATACTTACATTAGCAAAGTTTGTCCTGCTTCGCAAGCTCAAAGAAAGTTCACTTTGCATGTTTGTATTAACATTCTAGTCAATTCTCCTACTTCAAAATAATTTTTGAGAAATATGCAGCTTAAAATTATTTGGAACCAAAAGTCTCATCCTCGACCTTGACCAAAAAATTGTGTTTTCTGCATTTGTCCAGTATTTAAAGCTGCCAGATATTTACACAATGTTTTCTCTTCAACAAGTTTCATCTTCTCCAATGGGATTCTTAAGTACTTGTCCTTACAATAGCTGCCACCGTCAGTAGTCACAACCACACTACAATGAGAAATTCATGGTGTCTCCAATGTCCAACTTTGGCTTGGATTTCCTTTTACATATTACATGTACTTCTGTCTCAAAATGAGAGTGTTTTAGGGCTTTTCTGCAATTTGCATGCACAAAGTGCATAGGCCAATTTTGATGAACACCCATGAAAGACTTCGTAATGTCTTTTGTAGCTCAACCAGCAAAATTCCTCACAATCTTATTTCTCAAAAAATAAATATGCTACCAATGGAACAAATTTGTTCCATCAGAATTTACACACACAATTCAGAAACCTCCTTGACAATGAAACAACTTGCCCACAGCAGCAGAAAATAAAACTTCCACACAATCTTTTGGTAATTAAATGAACCCTTGCCACTTGTTTTAGATACATATTGATGCCTTGCAAACATTTCATGGTGTTGCAAGAAGAAAACATGAAAGCTCAATATAAAATTTCAAATTTATGTACAAAATCATTTGATAACGTAAATTACTAACTTAGTCGCTAATTTGTAGCGAGGGTATTGGCAAATTAGCATTTAAATGTTGGATAGAAAATTGGATGACTGCATAGATAGACGTTATCAGCACAGGTCAAGATTTACAATATTATAATATCGGTAATAAGATTTTCCTGTAAAGAATTTATTAATGATTTTGTTATACAAAGCACATGGAAGAAACTTTCCCTTTTGGTTAACAATAATACAATGTAAAAGTAGCAGAAACATTTTTTATACTAGAGTAAAGTCATTCATCCAGAGTTGAGAGAGAGAGATCAGCATTAAAAAAAATCTTATCTATCTTATTCAGCATGCCACATCAGGGGGTTTTAGGAAAGATGCTGAATTAAATTTTTATTACAGTCAAAGCTGCTCCACAATCTCTCAAAATACCTCTCTAGTGCAGCAAATCTTTTGCAGTCATTCAATAAGACTATCTATTTTAAAAGTTGTTAAGAAACTGTGGAGTTTGGCAAGACAGCACAGTGACACAAACATTAAGCCTGAAATCCAGGCTCCAGGGTGAAAAACACAAGATGATTAATCAGAGTGAGCGTGAACAAAATCCTTACCTCTCAGCAAGGTTACGAGCCTCTTCTGCCAGAAGTGTCATATTATTTGGATCAGCACTGGAATCAGGAGTTGCTATTGACTACAGGAAAGTTAAAAAAAAATCAACTTATGATCCAGGAGTACTCACTACACAATTTATGAAATGCAACGGAGCCATTTTTTCCACAGGATGGAGTAAATTGCTCATGCTCCCTGTATGACTCCAACATCATGCAGATGATTTCCATGTGGTATTCATAGATATCTAGCGGGTGCCAGACATTAATGATGCATTCTTCTGTAATTTAAAAACTCAGTGATTACAGTATTTGCAGTATCCAATTTATGGCCCCCTACAGAGAGGATTCTAAAGGCTGTGCTCACCTCCAGCAATCCCATGTGAATGTCAAACAGTGTTGCACAACTGGTAGGAAGTTAACAGTTGACCAGTGACTTCAACAAGCCTATTGGTTTCACATTCATCTATCTAAACACCAGTTGAAGAAAGTTGGATTTAAATAGGTGTTAACTGATCTTCTGCCACACGCATTCAATAGCCTGCACCTTTCTTAACAAGCAAGAGAAAAAAACTAGCACAAATTAGAGGGCCACAACTAATCCAGAAGATTTAAATTCATTACATACTATTTATATGGTTCTCAATGTGCGAGTTCTCCAACCAATAGCACAGAGTTTAGTCAGGAAGGGAGAGGGAACTGTTGATGGTTCTTCATCAGAAAGACTCCCTGATGATGGCTCACTTTCAGGCACATTTCCCAAAACAATGGGCTGTCATGGGAATTGCCAAACTGTTCCAATTAAGGTCACAAACAGGACCACTTTGAAAACTCTGACATTTTCACAGCATCCGACTAGTGCAGCAGTAGCATCCCTGACTTTCAGCCAGAAGGTCTAGGCTCAGTTCCCAGCCATGCCAAAAATATGTCCCTACAGGTGTCATAGCAGAACACCATATGGTCCACGGTCACATCTGGGTTACAATATCATCGACTGAAGCGTTTGACCGAGATTACATATTACGGTATCTCCCACTGTAAAGTAAGTTGAGATTTTGCACACCTTTAACTGGCCAATGGTGCATAACAGAATGTCCTTACTATAAATCAACTGAACGGAAGAAACAGGCCAGGAAAAAGAACAATGACAATAGATCTACATTTTTCAATGCATCTCCCTTCTTTGACCACCTTGCATGCAAACTTTTGGATGCGAAAATAAAAACTTAAATCATAATTTGTAAGATGTTTAACTTTGGATAACATTACTCAACAAAAACTGGTCATTACTTCACTTATAAACATGCATGTTGTCTGAATTTAAAGAGGTTTGTATACATACCACATTGCCCAAGATTTCCTTGGCCTTTTCAAGCTCTGTCCGAGCATTTGAAATTACTTTCTCTGCATCCTGGATACGATTATTGGATAGCTCGGCCAACTGTTGTGTGTTATCTACTGTATCTTTTATATTTTGAAGTCGTCCCCACTGAGTGGACAGGGTGTTATTAATTTCAGCCAAACGGTCCATAAGACTTTTGTCTACATCTGTTCATAGAAATTGTGTGAAGTTATATGTCCATACTGGGGAAGATTTCACAATAGTTATGCATTTTTTAACAGATGCATGAGTATCCACTTCACCCTACCACCATGATCGTTACATTATTTACTCACACTATCAAATTGTTAGCACCAGCTGCCTTTCAGTACTTCGCTAAATGTGACTGTTCTTCATTTGACAAGAGGAACTGCCAATAAAGTAACCAGCTACAAATACATCTCTTACCTATTCAATGAAAGCGGCAGGGAGGAAGAAAGAAATAGTAGTTTGTATCTGGTTCATAGCATTTTTACAATTATGTATTCCTTGAAATTATACTTCACTAAATTCTATTTGCCATTTTAGTATTTATTTTATCAAGCATAACTGTGTGTTTTCATGAGTTCAGGATAGTCATGTTCTCCACTAAGTCACACAAATAACAAAATAGGCTTGTCAGTTTTTAAACACGAGGACAGTATGAAGGGTTTCTGTTCAAAAATCACTGAAAAGAGAAATGCTGCCAAAGACTTTTGCCTTGCACTCACCAGGCCAAGAGCAAGAACGCCAACTTTCAAATGATTACAACAATTTATACTACAAGAGAAAAGGGTTTTAGAATGGTTGGCATTTGAACTCTGATTGATCATGGCATTGCCATGGAGAAAGCGCCAAAGAACTACAGGCTTGCTGAGCACGCAAATAATCCTAAAAAGGCACAAAGCTCAAATACTTTGCTTTTGCTTGCAGAAAGTGAATCCCTTCATATGAATACATGTTGCTTCTGACATTGCTCTTCAGGGTTTGCCTCCTCAAGGACTGTGTGGTGATGAATCCTACTAATGGAGTCATGGTTGGATGCATCTGCAACAAGTAGATTGGTGAGGACGAGTTCAAGTAGATTTTACCCTCTTATTGGTTCCCTCACCACCTGCCACAGACCCAGTCTGTGTCCTTTAGGATCAGCCAGCTGTGGTAATGGACATGGAAGTCACCCACCCAGAGCATATCCCGTGTACTTGCTCTCAGTGTTTTTCCAGATGGAGTTCAACATGGAGAAGTACTCGTGCGTCAGCTCAAGTGGAAAGAGGGAAGAGCAAGACTGAGAGAGAGGGGTAGAAGGAAGCAGAAGAGTGAGTGGGAAGCAAGGGACAGCACGTGGAGAGCAGAGCTGAACAATCCTGGGTGTGCTAATAGTTACACTAACAAACAGTTGAAGATAATCAAATGAGCTCAATGTGGCTCCGTTATGCTTGCTAGAAGCAACATATTCATATATTGGTATCTGTTCTCTGAACACTAATGGAAATATATTCAAGCCTTGCACTTTTTCTGGATTACCTGGGAACTTGGGGAGCCTTCAGTTCCACATTGTTTTTTCCATGGCAATGCCGGAGTCAAAACACTGAACCAATTAGCACTCTTTGGTATAAATGGTTGCAAGGGTTTGAAATTTGGCATTCTTATATTTGTCCTGATAGGTGGACAACGTAAAGCTTCATCCACATTGTCTCTTTTCAGCAATTTTCAAGTTCTGTACTACCAAATGATGATTTCAATTAAGAAAATTGTAATAAATTGAAGTACCAAGATGATAACTGGAGTTTTTAAATCACTTCATTAAGTCCAAGGTGTCAGTTATAACATATACCTCTCATGTTTTCAGCATCCCTCAGCAAGTCCATTATGGTTCTTTCAGCTTCCTTGAGTCTTTCTTCAAAAGCTTTGTCGCTCACTGTGTCCTGGCTTGTTCCAAGGTTTGCAATTAAATCTTCCAAGTCCTTAAGCTTCTGTCTATGTTCAGTTACCTGAGCACATGGTACAGGATAAAAGATACCAGCAGGAAACCAATTAAATCAACTGCAGCTCTAGCAATCTTATCTACTGACATACAACTGCTCAGTTAATCAAAAAAAGATAAATTAGCACGACCAGAATCAACTCATTTTGGCAACTGAAATCAAACATTTCATTCCTGCACCAGGATGTACAAAGCAATGCATGTCCTTGGCTTCAAAGTTGTTATTTAAGATTTAACCAGTTACTCAAAGTAACACTTTCCTGAAAACAAGCTAATTTGCTTTATAAAACATGATTCTTCACTTCTCATTCAACCAGTTACTTCAGGTAAAGGATTAAACATCTAAGTATTAATCCATGTGAATATTCCTGTTACTACCTGAAGTACTTATTGACAATACTGTTTAATGATATTCTGTGGAAATCTCTGTTGCCTGGATGTTCTGATGGTCATTTCTGCACTGCAACGGGGAGCTGAGCAAGGGGACCCTACAGAATCCTCTACACCTGAAAGCCTCCAAAAAGTATCCATTTAAATCGGAGAATCTGGAGTTTGACTATCGGTTAAAATTACCCCCAGACATGCCACTCTCACTACTAAGAGTCCCCCAGAACCCCAATACTCTCAGAAGCTGACTTGACACTACCCTGTTCTCCCAGGACCCAACAGCCTCCTGCCAACCCATTCTCTCCACAATGTACCAGCCACCTCCTCCCTCCATCCAGAACCCACCCTAACACCCCGCCCCGATACCCGACTCTTCTCCTTTGCCTTGGCCCTGACACTTTCTCCCTCCCTTTCTTCCCTTGTTCCCCTCCTCCCACCAAAAAAACTCCCGATGAGAGATATTGGATCCGGATTGATCTACCCTAACAGTCCAACACTTATTTGGCACCCTGCCCTTACAATTACCTTACGTACTTTCCCTTTCACAGGAACTGTCAAAGTGGCTGTCAGTGATGCTGGACATTTAAATCACAGAATACAGCTGTGAAAAAGGGGAACAGATTATGGAAAAAGATCGCGGTTTGCCTTCCCCAACTATCCTGCACTGAGGCACCTGCCAGATTTATAGTACGCTCGGCATTTCTAAAGGAGCCCTAATCAGTTCCCTGTCAGAAATGTGGAGCTTGTTTTTAATGTAATGCAAAAAAAGGAATGGAGTAACACTCTATAGGATTGCCAATTCCTGGCTCATTGTATTTAAACTATTTCAGTTTGTTTAAAATACTTTTCCTTCCTTGCTATTAATGTTACCTCATGTATGAAGGCTGCTTTCACACTATTCAGTCATGTGAGGAAGCCTTTGCAGAACACCTACGCTCGGTTCGCAACAAACAACTGCACCTCCCAGTCGCGAACCATTTCAACTCCCCCTCCCATTCCTCAGACGACATGTCCATCCTGGGCCTCCTGCAGTGCCACAACGATGCCACCCGAAGGTTGCAGGAACAGCACCTCATATTCCGCTTGGGAACCCTGCAGCCCAATGGTATCAATGTGGATTTCACAAGTTTCAAAATCTCCCCTCCCCCTACCGCATCCCAAAACCAGTCCAGCTCGTCCCTGCCTCCCTAACCCGTTCTTCCTCCCACCTATCCCCTCCTCCCACCTCAAGCCGCACCTCCATCTCCTACCGACCAACCTCATCCCGCCCCCTTGACCTGTCCGTCCTCCCTGGACTGACATCCCCTTCCTAACTCCCTACCTACACTCACCTTTACTGGCTCCATCCCCGCCTCTTCGACCTGTTTGTTTCCTCTCCACCTATCCCTCTTCTATCCGCCTCCCACTCTCTCCCTATTTATTTCAAAACCCCCTTCCCCTCCCCCTTTTCTGATGAAGGGTCTAGGCCCGAAACGTCAGCCTCTCTGCTCCTATGATGCTGCTTGGCCTGCTGTGTTCATCCAGCCCTGCACCTTGTTGTCTCGGATTCTCCAGCATCTGCAGTTCCTACTATCTCTCCTTCTTTCCACCTGTCTCCTGATGATATTGATTCATGTGGGGGGTGGGGAGGGGGTGTGGTAGTGGTAGTGAGGGATGAGAACCAAACATGGTTTAATTTTAATTTTGTTCCTCAGTTATAAAATCTAATCTGATGATGGCCAAGTTGGAATTATGTAGAATTCCAGCACCAAACCGTGCCACTCAGCCCAGCTGGTCTATGCCAGTGTTCACACACTACATGAGCAGCCACTTATTCTACTTCATCTATACCTAATAGAATTGTTTGAAATCTTTCTTGCTCATGTACTTACCTAGCTACTGCTTAAAAGCACCTATATTACTTATCTCAAGTAATTCATCTGGTCACACGTTCTATGTAAAGAATTTTCTCCTGAATTTATGTGATGACCTTTGATTTGGAAGTAGTACAGCAAAGAACATTTGTACTTCAACATTTAAAACATCTGTAGAACCAAACTTTTTTTGGAATGTTTGAAAGGGATGTTCAAAGGGTCGATACCTTTAACAACTATTGAAATTATAATTTTCTTGGATAGTAAAAAATATTGGTCTGACCAGGTTCCAAATTGACATGAAGGAAGTTAAAACCAGAAGCTGGAGGACAGAATGAGATGAAGGGCGAAGTTAATCAATGGACAAATGCAGACAAACAGAAAGTGCAAACAGACAGGAAGAAGACTAGGAAAATTCTTTTGAAGTGAAGAACCAAAGCTCTTTTAGGGGGAGAACTGTTTTGAAGAAAAAGGGACAGGAATGTCTGGAGGTACTGTCGTTCTTCGCCAAAATAGTCTAAAATCTACAAAACCATGAATAGGTTAGTATCACTTTCCCAGAAATTGCCAAATTATGAAGTTGGGTCTTACTGGTTAGTTGGTTGGTTGAAAAGGAACTCAAGAAAATTATACCATCAGAACTGTAGTGACCCAAGGGAGAGCTGGTTCTTACACATATGCTTGGTTGGCCATAAACATTTCAGTGAAACTTCAAAGTGAAAGCTATTGTTGGAAAGCCTGACCTACTACACATGAAAAGAACACATTGTAGAACCACGTTGCTGTATACTACCATGTCTGTGCAAGGAGTGATTTGGGTATCTGTGGTTGCGGAAGACATATCTTTGTAACATTGGCTATTTAGTGATTTTTGTTTAAATGTGAGGTTTCATTCACCTGTTCATTCACAATAAATGATGTTGATTCCAAATCATGCTAAAGTAAAACCTACAGTGATTTAATTAATTCATTTAGTCCTTACTGGTTGTTAGTTCTTTATTGATTTTGGGGTAATTCAGCAAATTTGGTTATTTTGTTTTCTACCTGCACCCACCCCCAATTTTAGATTTATTGGTAGTTTTAGAATTTAGACCTACAAGGGGAATGAGTGTCAAGACTCTAATGGAGCTTAATGTAACACCAAAGCATGGAAAAGTGAAGTGCAGATCGATTGGGATGTTAATAGAAATAAAAACAGAAATTGCTAGAAAAGTTCAGGTCTAGCAGCATCTGTGGAGAGAAATAAGAGTTAACATTTTCAGGTCCGGTGACCCTTCCTCAGAACTGATGGTACCTCGGAAAATGTCGGTTTATATGCTACATTAGCAGAGTTGAACATATAAATTAGTGATGTGAGCAGAAGTAGATTATTTGTTGCCTCTACCCAGCTCTATCATTCAACAAACCATGGTTGATAGGATCGATTAGGCAACCAATCCACTATCCATGCTATTCAGTTATCCCTTACACAATAAGCTCTCATTTAACATAATAATTTTTGATGTAGAACTTTGCTAAATGTCTTCTGGAAATCTAAGCACAACAAATCCACTGGCTTCCCCCTTATCAAAGAGCATGTTGTTTCCTCCAAGAATGTCAATAAACAAATTAATAAATTAGTCAAACATAATTTCCCTTTCACAAGAACATGTTGAGGCACAACAGTTTGGAGAAAGAATTTAGAAAGCTAGGCTTCTTCCCTCATGTTGAAAAGATAACATTATTAACATTCATGGCTGAAGTGTCAGTGTTTGACCTCACTACTCCACTGAATCTGACAGGAACCTCTGGAGTTCTCCAATATGAAAAAACACTGATATTCAAGAGCTGTTATCAGTGATGCTACACCTCCAATGGGTGTACTGTTGACATTTCCCAAGACTGCAATCAAATGGAAAATTAAAAGGAATTGACAAATCTTGCACTTTCATGTCATTAACTCTGCTGTAAAATTCCTTGAAAAAAGCTATATATTGCCAAAGAGTTATAACAGGTTTTAAATGGCATACCAGCTTCATGATTACTACTGTAACTACCCACACTGAGAAGCATTTTTAAAATCTGAGGAATGTAAAAATTATGAATAATTTGTAAAAGTTATGAATAATTTTTAATGGTTTTCAGGTTTTAATGCTTATTTTACCTTCTAAGTACTATTATAATTATTTAATTCAATTTAGATTTTCAGATACCAAATGCAAAGGCTATTAAACACTATTAATTTCCTGTTTTCAATGTGATTTTTTTTAACCTGCCTGCTGACATTACCATTGCTGCAAACCAAGACACCCTCTTGACATGGAGTCAGATTTAAACTAACATTGGGGAGGGGAGAAATCAATGTCACAGATCATTAGATCTTTGTATAGTGGCTTTCATCAAGATTAACAGTGAGTGCTATTGTTCCATAGGTGATTGCAAAACAATATGAGCCAAACAGGGTGACCTGATTAAGATTGTCAAAATTCACAGTTAAGGAAAAGGCAAATGATAATTGTTTCCATAGGTAGGCTGAATAGTAATAACAGGACATAAATTTACGAGGATCACAAAATAAAATAATGATGAACTTAACATGCTAAGTGACTAAAATTCAGAAACCTGTCACAATCTATTTTTGAAATAAAAAATCTAAATTCATTTGAAGGGAACTTCCAACAGTTGCTTGTAAAGAATATTAAAGGAGAAAGGAAGCAATGAGGAAAGCTAAACTGATTTCAAATGAAGAAAACATCCAAAATATGTTCTCTCCTATTCAATCTTTGAAAGGACTAAGGTCTGGCTATTATCTGGTATTTTGCACAAGCTGTTCCTTCATATGCAAATTGAGAGTTCAAGTACCACTAAAAGGTAACGTGATCTCACTCTCACCCAACATTCATAAACTGTCCCTTTGAATAGCCCCACCATCAGAAGGATCAGATGAAGCATTGTGTAATAATACAACTATCAAATGTAGAAGTAGTATTTTCTACCTTATCTTTCACCAGCCTATAGCATGTAGGACACTCCTGGCAGCCAGGTCTTGTCCGATTGTAGAAATAGTTTTCTTCGCATTGGTCACAGTGTATGCCCACAAATCCTTCCTTACAGTCACACTTTCCATCTTCCTTGCACTGAAGAGATCCAGAGCCCTCACGGTCACAATCACAGGCTGTAAGAAAAGATAAACTACTTACACACTTGATTTTTAGAAAATGACAAGAACAATTTTTGAGAGATGTTCCCGGAAGTTATTTTTAAAAAATAGTTTGCTTACGTTTGCATCCATCCTGGCCAAATCCAAAGTGATACGGTTCACATGTATCACACTGCCGACCAACAACACCAGGCTGACATTCACATTGTCCATTGCGGGCATCGCACTGGCCGTTAATGGAACCAATGGGGTTACAGTCACACCTGTGAGCAAACAATTGGTGAACTCAACCAACGAAACCCTTCATGTTCTGCTGTGAAGAATAATGTTAACTACTGAACTGCAAGATTAAAAAGGTTAACTAGTTAATCCAGGTCCCATTATATACTACAAAAAGGGCAAGTACCATTTATGCAAACAGTAAACACATTATATGAGAAGCGATCATCTCTGTCAAATACTTTTCTTATTCTTTGAGTTGACGGCACACTACAGCCAGCCAGTGTAAGACGACTGGGAGGAATATTTTGTGCAGTCTTGTGAGACCCACTTTGCAACCACATAATTAAGATTTAAAATTAATTCTTCTATCCAATCTGTGATACAAGTAGAATAGACACTAAAGAGATATTCAATAGCATTATCCCACATGAGCTGTCAAACAAAATGCACCAAATATGGTCACAAATGAGTTACCAAGTAAACTTGAAGTTAATGGGCTATAAAGAAACCATTGGAACAGAGTGCTCATTACAAAATTTACACGCAGAATTATTAACCAGTGTTCTGGGAAATGTAGACCAAGTTGCACTATCACTGTGCCTCTGAATTACATGTTACAAAGTTTAAGATTTTAATATTTAATAAGTCATTTTAATATATAGCAATGGTTTAATGAAATTATTGGTCCAGGTGGTACAGTCAGCACCAAATAGCATGCACCATTCATTACAGCTGAATGCACAGAGTTCTTGCAAGCTTTAGAGCAGAGACTTCTCACGTGTGCCTGATCTAATGTGCCAGCTTCAATACAACATTCACAACATGAGGATGCTGAACCAACAAAAGTATAGCTCTACAGCCAGACTGAAGGATCTGAGAGAGAGCGAGCTCCAAACCAGGGAGCAAAAATTGGAATATTTAATTGTAAAATACTGTATAGCAAGCAAAGGAAAGGACACAGAAATGGGATTGAAATTGGGGGAAAAAGTAGTCAAAAGAAAATTATTTTCTTTATAAAATCTCAAACAATAAGTTACGTTGAAGTAGTGAGAATCCACACTTGTCAGTAAGCAAAACATAAAATACTTGCTATTGATTTCAGTGGCAAGCCTGTAAGTAAACAGCATTATTTCAAATAAAGGAAACAAAAGTGCTTTTCTTTCTCAGTATACTGAATTCATATGACTGTATCATTCAGATCTTTGGCACTTAATCTGGGAAATCTCGTTAAATAATGCATTAAGTTCTCTTATCGTTTCTTTACTGAGCATGGCAGTAAGACTGGAATGATGTGTGGATAGAATGTAGGGTTGTCTCTAAAATGCTGCAACCACATTTTGCTGTTTAGAGCAGCTAACTGATTTAGAATAAAACTTTTCCAAAGCTGAAATATTAGCTTCCGTTCAATTTCTGCTGCACCGCTATTGCCAAGCCAAGAATTCAAGCAGGACGACAAAACTGGAGCTTTTAGTTTCACAAGGTAGAAGGGAGGGCATGTTGTATGGAGGCAACTTTATATTCAACACGGAAATTGTAGATCTCAGCACTGGTTGCTCAGAGTACAAAACTGTTCTGTTTACTCATACTGGCGCCCTTTTGTTAAAAAGGGAAATGGTAGACTAATTTCACTGTCTATTACCAGCACTTCCTTGTTATTTGTTCCTCACACACAACCATTCCTTCTGTACTTTCCGAAGATGACCATTTTTAACACTTGCAGATTGCACAGATGTTTTTCCGATGTTTCCACTGGTAATTTTGTTAAAAGTTATTCTAATAACAGCACTTTGGATATTACAGCATGATTTAATTGATTTTGCTCACAACAACTTTGGATATATTGATTAAACTATTTCCAATGCATTACTGCATTGAGTCATTACAATGCATAATTGTATATACAGAGATTAGAATAGACTTGATGGACTAAATAACTTTGATTGCTGCGATTACTGCCACTTAAAACAGTTTTATACATGCACTATGATCTGTGTACTCTTGGATTTCACTAAGTGTTAGCAATCCTGCACCCGCAGTATCTACACTGCACCCGCAGCACGCTGAACTGGTGTTGCATTGTTGGAGACCTGTTTTTTGGATGAGACATTATAATGCGGGTACAGTTACAGAGTTTAAAATACATATGGATAAGTACCATGAATAGGAAAGGTTCGGAGGGATATAGGCCAACTGCAAGCAGGTGAATCATAGAATCGCTACAGTGTGGAAACAGGCTCCTCGGCCCAGCAAGTCCACACCAACCCACAGAGTATCCCACATCCAGACCCATCCCTATAACCCACCACCCTACACATCCCTGAATGCTACGGGCAACTTAGCATGGCCAATCCACCCAGCCTGCACATTTTTGGACTGTGGGAGGAAACCGGAGCACCTGGAGGAAACCCACGCAGACACAGGGAGAACATGCAAACTCCACACAGACAGTCACCAGAGGGTGGAATTGAACCCGGGTCCCTGGCGCTGTGAGGCAGCAGTGCTAACCACTGAACCACCGTGCCACCCCCAGGTGGGACTATTTTAATTTGGGATTATGGTCAGCATGGACTGGTTGGAGCAAAGGGCCTGTTTCTGTGCTGTATGACTCTATGACTTGGACACTAAGATTTGTATAGAAAGAAGGGAACAAAGCAACAGACTGTCAGGAGGAATAGTCAGCAGCAATCAGTGATGCCAGTAACTTCCCCTGATTCTGTTAGCTTTCACAGGAAACTAGGGCCCCTCAATGCAACTCATATTCCTTAACTCCTTTTGTGTGTTTTCCAACTCTGCATACAAATATGGATCAAATATTTCTTCATCAGCCCTTAAGCAGAAAAAGAAAATAAGTTTCAATAACGTATAAAAAGGGTCTTTATTTTTCCCAAGTGTTCAACTTTGCTGTAACGTTATCCCTTTGTATTTTGTTAAATAAACAAAGTAAACAGCAATTATTTATGCAAAACAGATAGGAGGTGGATGCCCAAAATATGACATAAATTTACACAATTTCACTTTATGAGAAGGCTTCTCTCTCATGCGCTTTCACAAGGCAGATAGGCCCCAAAAGACTTTTGTTACCTCAATTTCTCACTGAAATGAAGTAACAGGTTGCTGCAGAAAGAAAATCAATCAACTCAAATTCCTCTATTCAACTTACCTCTGACAGCCCTGGCCACTCAGAAGATTGTAATAGCCTAACTCACACTGACTACAATCCCTGCCCACGACATGAACTAAGCACTCGCACAGACCGGTGACTTGGTTGCAGTTCCTTTGCTGATCCACAGTGCCATATCGAGAACAGTTACAAGCTGCAAAGAGAAACAATAAGGGCATTAGATCCTTTGTTTTTAAGAAAACATTGAGTAGGGCAAGGCAGGAAGGAAGAAGCGCAAGAGTCCGCAGAGAAGGGCAAGAAACTCATTTTTGTATTTTCCGCTCATATCATTATTTAGTTAAAAAAAAAATGCAAGTAAGGCACCCACATTCAGTTGCTGGGAAAAAGTTGTGATATTTCGTCCTATAAATAAGTTGCCCCCAAAAATACAGTGAAAGACATCAGAAAAGACAACACACAAATGACTCAAAGAATTACTGCAATACCAAAGGTTTTGTTGGGTTAAAAGAAAATTATTATTCAGTAATGAAATTTCTGTCAGTCAAAGATAAATTAACACTGAAGGCAGTTTTGGTAATTCACCAGTTTTGCTCCATACAGCGCATTTATTTTATATATTGCATTTTAAGATACTAAATCAATTTTATGTACTTTAAATCTCACAGTCAGAGAGATTTGAAATATATTACTTTTCATTGGAGTTAATGCTAATATGCACTTTTAAAAATTAGACATTTTGAAAGCATTTCATGAACCTACAGTAAAATATGAAGCTTACCTTTACATTTTTCTGATGGAATTGGGTTTAATGCATTTCCATAAAATCCATCTTTACATTTGTCACAGTAGAATCCATCAGTGTTGTAGATGCACTTTAAACACTCTCCTGTCAGCCGATTACAGTTCCCCACAGCATTTGGATCAATGTTGTCACTGCAATGACATGGTTTACATGGACTCACAGACCCCTCACTTCCTAAAGGGTCACCATAGTACCCATCATCACATAGTTCACACCTTTTACCTGTTTGAAATGAAAGAAAATGTATTATCAAATGCACCAAATTCATGAAAACAAACATTCCCACGTTCTAAGCAGAATTCCCCTAGTTACAATACTGATTGGAGTGACTAAACAGTTCTTTCAAAGCTAACACAAAATGCAAAAGGCACAAAGGCTAAAGGAATCATTGTGCACTTATAATCAATAATCAGTCCAATCAACATTCAGCAACAAAATACAGTGCTTAACTAGTGGTGCTAAATTTTTGCACTGTAGCCAACAAAATGAATATGAAAGATTATCTTTTTTTTAAAAAAGGTGCCACTTAAATAGAAAGCAAGCATTTAAGTAAGCTCAAACATGACATCAGGAAGTAATAATAAATCCCTCCAACTGAACCAAGCTTCTGTAACCAAAACCAGAATTTTTGCTGAGGTTTTGCATGAGATAGCGTGCAAAAGTCTGTGGGAGCCTCTCTTTTCTGGGGATTCCAACCTTTTCTGTGAAAGACGTACAGGAGGTCTTGTTCTAGCCGCTCACTGAAGCTAACAATCTCTGCCAATGACTAGTAAATTTACTGAGCACAACAGCATTCCAGTCAGCCATATTTAATGTTCCAAGTTATGAAAGTTATAATTTCTACTGCCAAATGAGAGCAACAGAAAAATCTTTGGTTTCAGTTATTGGCTTTTCAAACATATACTGCTCTTGAACCAGAAAGAGCTCAATTGTTTATGAATAAATTAGCAACTGAGGGTAATCGTTTGTTGACACAAAACTTGATTATTGCTGAAAATAGACATTTTGTCAAAAGTTTTCGACTTGTACTTATCAGGACAATTCACGAGGGATAATAACATTTAACACTGTGTGAAAAGGAAGTACCAATAGGTTGTCAAATGGATTCTGAGATCAGGATAGGTGACCAAAAGGCTGGTCAGAAAGGGGGATTTTGAAGGGTATCTTCAAAAGGAGGACCGTGAGCTAAAGTGGTGCAGATGTGATTCACAGCCCAGGCAACTGAAGGCTTGGTCCCCAGTGGAACTGCAATTGGGAATGCACAGATATCTTGTAATGTTGGAGAAGATTATACACAGGGATAAGGCCATGGAAAGGTTTTGGAAACAAGCATTAGAACTAAAAATGAAGTTGTTGCGACAGGGAGTCAATACAGGTCAGCAAGCATAAGGATGATAGAAAAACATGACTTGCTGCAAGTTAAGGTGTGGGCTGAAGTTTTGATAATCTCAAAGTTACAGTGAGTAGAATGTGGGAAATAAGCCAAGTCTATTGAGTGCAGAAGAAACAAAAGGCATGAATAAGGGTTTTAGTGGCATATGAGCCGAAACAGGGGTGAAGTTAAGCAATGTTGCAGGGGTGGAAATAGGAAGTCTTAGTAACGAGGTGATAACAGGTCTGAAGTTCATCTCAAAATGAAATGCAATACCAAGATTTCAAACAGACGATTTTATTTTAGAATGTTGCCAGAGTTTGTTGAGGAGACCAAAAACAGTGGCTTCAATTTTCCCAATAGAAACTTCTAAGTTGTCTGATGAAAACAGGGGAAGAGTTAACAGGTGGCAACTGTCTTCTCAGATGATGTTCTTGATCACATATTCTTATGTTGTGTTTCTTGACACAGAACCACCTCTCCCATACATACCAGAATATTTGTACTGATTAAGAAAAATACTTTTCAAACTTTGAGGATCTCACCAGTAGTTCCTTTAGGGCAGTTGGTACACACTACATCCCTGGTTTTTGGCACCATGGCACAGCTTGAACCAGTTGGACAAGGGCACGGACGACAGTCCTCTGAGCTACCAACTGTAGGATCACCATAGTAACCATCCCTACACCGCTCACAGTTTGATCCTGCTGTATTGTCTCTGCAGTAACATTCACCTATAGATTGAATTGGTTGATAAAGTAGTTAATTATCCGTATATCAAATATAGTTTCCAGACATTAAAATGCTCAAATTGTTAGCACTTTCTGAATCAATACCAAGTGTGTACAGATCCTTTAGAATGACAGGCAAGACTGCAGAGAATTCCTTGTAAGGTAGGTATTTTATAGATACCATGTGGCAGTTTTAATGCTACACATATTTGACAGTGACCTGAAATTTTCCTGTGAATTTTCAAACAACGATGGAAAACCCCAGGACAAAATGTAAAATTTTGCAGAGGCAATTTTTACTCATGTATGGGTGTGCAGGGATCTGACATGTTCTTCTGGACTGTCTTGGTCCAAAACATGAGAAGATTGTTCATTATAGGTAATAACTTCAGACTTCTCCAAAACAAAATCAAGGAAACAGCAGCGTTGAAATGAATAGCATTACTGAAAATTTACATTCGTTTTGTTTTTAAGATTTAGCATGAGAGACCTAAAGCACTAAAGGGCAGTAAGAAGGCAATTTCTTAAAAAAGTAGTCCTCGGAATTTGGGTGACACTGGTCCAACCGAACTAAGTGTCAACAGGCAGCTGATGAAGCCATGTGGTGAAGGTGCTTCCACAATGCTGTTAGCCAATGAGTTCTATGATTTGAACCTAGAGAGTAAGGGATACGTCAAGGCTTGGTGAGGTTTTAAAACATTTCTACAGACCAGGCTTTCAGGTAAACAAATGCAAAAATTCTCTTTTAATGGAAACTTCAACTCCTGCATTTAAAACAAGGTACCAAAGAATGTGGAGGTAAAAATCCTCTTCAAACACAAATGGAACTCCAGCTTCTTCCAGACTACTAGCATCTATGATAAAGATTGACAGATTTTGTCTATAAAAATAGCTCATTGTATAAGTAAAGGAAGCCACTAATAATCACAATGCCTTCTTGCATTCAACCATATTCTGATTCAGGCAGCATGCATGTCACTGCAAGTGATATTATGGATAGAGAATTAGGTCGATGAACAATAAAGCTCATGATGATTTCAGTCCAATGTCTTCCTGATGTTGAGAAGTTAAGATATTGTACACAAATAATGGAGTAAGAAAAATGTTTAATTTAATCTACCCTTACACACTATGAATTCAGAATTCAGAAACTAAATTCACAACACATACAGGTTGATTCACAAGAGGCGGGGAAAGAAGAGAGTTTGAGATGGTTGGGAAATGGTTTGGGTAAATATCATCACATAAAGCATGATATATACTAAATAAACTAATCCAAGCAAGGGCTTATTTCATATTGTGTCAGTAAGCACAAGTCATCATTCTAAGCAGAGTTTATTTCTCATTAAAATATTGCCGCTCACCACTTTCCGGATCGCAGGTATCACTATGTTCATTGCAGGTGCAGGGCACACAGGAACTGAAAGCTCCAAGCCTAGGATCCTCCCTCCTGTAGCCCGGTGCACACTGTTCACAGAACTGGCCCCGGTATGCAGCTGGGCAGGTACATTGTTCTACCCATTCAGCAGGAGATCCAGAGCCAGGACGAGCAGTGAGCAGAGTTACATCATCCAAGTGTCCAGCACCTATGGAGACATGACCAAAAGTTAGTTGCAAACACATTAAACTTTCAAAAATGTTGAAAATATGCATAGACCAGGTGAACAATGTTAGTTTTATATTCTTTTATTGGAATTAAATCTACATGGACTTAAATAAAAAAATGATGCGCCAGTCTTTCACATTCTGTGGAATTCCATCCTTAAAATTTACTGTCTCTTCTGCCACCTTTAAAAAAAGGTCACTTCAAACCCTTTTCTTTCGACTTAACGTTTGGTCACAGTTCAAAATCTGCTCCGACTTGGTTTTTATTTCCCCTGGACCTATCCTTGAAATATCATGTGATGTTTCTTTGCAATAAAAGGAAACAGAAATAATCTGCAGCAAGTAGGGGAGATCTTCCATCAAAAACAAATGCCCATATGTTCCAACATCTAGTGGGAAATGGGAGGGTCTCAATATACCTTGTTGATCTGGAGCAACTCACAATAAACAATGAAATCATCAATGTCCTTAGAGATCCCAGGTCACCACAATGCTGACCAAGCTCTGGCTTGGCACTTGGTGATTCACAAATGCTCCTGGACTGAAAGTGAAACTGGAATGACCAGTCACTTATGAATAACTGGTAAATTGTCCAAAATTATAAAACAGGGTCAATGCTCATAATAGGTTTTCAAAGGCATCCCTGCTGGGACTTCAATCTGGACAAGTTTCAACACAACACCAATGGATGTTGAGATACCTCTAGTTCTTCAACTATTCCTGCTGGATCTGGCTATGCTGAGTGTGGTTTGCTGGCCATTGTGCCACTGTGTATCAATAAATCAACCAGGTGGCATATGATTCTATGAAGACTTGTAAAATGGAAACAGTCTATTGAAAAATCTCTGGGGTCAAGATCATTCCAAATTGCAGTCCATTGAAACAAAATCTCTCAAAGTGGATTTCTGAACATAGTAAGCAATCTTGCTTGTCAATGGCACATGCCATCATGCACTATTTACATCTGAGTTGTGAGAATTCTCCTTTGAGACAGCTTAGTTAAAAACTTTCACCAGCCACAGACTTAGGATGGATTTCCCTTTGCATCACTTTGTTAAGCTGTGCAAGGTCAACACAAGTTTGTATAGTACTGATAGACTTCAGTAAGAGACAATACAGTGTGGAGCTGGAGGAACACAGCAATAATGAAGAAGGGTCCCGAGCTGAAACGTCAACGTTCCTGCTCCTCTGATGCTACCTGGCCTGCTGTGTTCCTCCAGGTCCACACTGTATTGTCTGACTCCAGCCTCTGCAGTTCTGGCTATCTTCAGTACAGTAAGCATGTCCAAGCACCACTCACTTGGTCTTGTGGTGAGGGAACTGGTGGCTATTCTTCTTGTTTCTACAAGTTGTTCCTCAACTTCCTTCATTAAACAATGCAGAATCTTCCTAGTGAATACGTATATAATGATTTAATATCTTTCTTCAATGCAACACTGTATTCAGTATTTAGCTTCCCTAACCTTTCAAATAATCGGCGATTATTCAGCATGCCAAAATAGACCATGTCTGCATATTCCTCAAGGCTACATCAGCTGGTTGTGGCAGTCCACAGAAAGCATCTGCCTGCACAACGAGCTCACTGCATTCCCTGCACAGGGACTTCACCACGTGAGCAGAGGTCAGCACACGTGTATGCACTGCCCCTTTTTCCAGAGCTGAGAATAGGGGTGGGTGGTTTGGGAAGAGGCTGAGAGCACAGTGCTTCATGTCCTGATAGTTTATGTCTCCACTGCCACCATCTTGCTATCCCCACCATTGTGCCTGGGGTGGAGCCAGGAGGCCGCTTGGTGGTCTCTGCTTGGATCTTGGTCAAGGGGATGGCAGTCAGAGTAGCAGGTTGGAGGACCAAGCGTGGGAACCACCCTGGGCACAGACTCCCAACTCCAGAAAGGGCCTGTTTCGGCAGTGGAGTAAATGGAGAGAGTAGGGAGTTAAGGCAATACAGCAAAGGAGCAGTGCCCGAGGAGATCTACTCCTCAGCTTTACCCAAGGAACCTGCAATGTCTGTTCAATCACCGTTGAAATGTGACTCCGGAGCGTGCACTCATATCACCGCCTCATGATGCAGTTTGTATCTGCTTTGGATTTATCAATTCTCCTTCTCCAAGGAGACCAGTAGAGGTACAGCTGCAGCCACAATGTTCTGCATCCAGGTTTGGGAATACACAGTGTTTCAGCAGACCACACTTCAGACTTCAGGCCTGGTAATATAACAGGTTTGTTTTGGCAACCAGGTCCCATTTCTGGCTCCTGTTCCAGAAGCTGCCTTACCTGCAGCCAGCTGTTAACGTGAGACAAGCTGAAGGACTTTGCTTCTGAGCCTGAAGGCAGGAAGCTGGCTGCTGCCATTTGTGGGTAATTCCCGGCTCTTACAGTCTACCAAGCTTAGGAACCAAAGTTTACTTCAGCAGGAAGGTTCAATGTTTGACTACCTTTGTGGGCAGCACTGCAGAGGATGGGCCTACGCATGGTCTCGACTGTCAGAGTCAGATCAGCTTGGTCTGGGGACACTTACTATTCTCACTGTATGTGCCTCGAATCTTGATAGCTGTCAAGTTGTGGAGAAGCCTTTGAAATTCAAAAGAAGAAAGCTGCGGCCTCCACGGATAACTTGTTACTTCATGAAGCCTGTCAACAAAAAAGTGATCATAAACATTTACAATAGTATTCGAAGCAATATTTATTGCAAATTTAGCTCAAAATGTAAATATTTTCATTTGTTTTTAACAGATCCTTGCGCATGACTTGAATCAGAGTGCATAGAAATAAAAGCTGATTCTCCCAGGGAGTGGGTGTAACGTCTGTTCTTAATTAAACTGACATTGCTTTGAACACAAGGAACCAGGTGATTCAGAGCACAACACTGACAATATTTCACCTGTGAGGCCTGGCACTGAACTAAGCCAAAGCTTAGGTTATATTTAAGGGAAGAAAGAGACTTTGATTCTTCTGTTGTCATGGGGATAATGACTCATTGTTTCAGGGCAGCACAGGGTTTGATATTGGTCATGCAATGCAGAATTCTGCACGCAGATTTACACATCATCTGTATTGTGATGGCATCAAACAGCCACCCTGGATACATCCAATCAACTGTATGTGGTGAAAACAGTTACTACAGTTACCATGCAGGTTCTGCCTTGCTGCAATACAAAATTCATGTACATCGTCCCTTTTCTGAAATGATAGGTAAACATCTACCATTGTAGATCTGGAAATGGGCTAGTGTGAATTGCAGCTCAAGGTGAATTAGCCTCTGACCTTCTCGTCTTGAAGACTGAAGTGGGGGAAGAAGCAAGAAAGAGAATAAGCATTTCCCGCTCCCCATGCCTTTTCAAAGTTTGTTGCTTCAGTTCATGACTTCCACAGAAGCAGAGATTCCAATCCTTTGTGACAAGCAAGCTAGGAGGTTCCAGGATACTGTTCTAAAATTCATTTGCTATTAATAAAGTTCACAAAATACAGTGAATATATTTGGACCATCTCAAAGTCTGGAGTCCAAAAGAGAGTCTGTGTAATTCAACACAATTAATATATGATTACTGGTTACAATTTTAAATGACTTGTGTTACGGACATTATGATTATTTCACCTGAAGACATATTTCTGTGGGCTCTCTGTCGGGTACTGATTTCCCTGAGCTATCAGTGGAACTGTTACTCTCAGGCCTGCTCCTTCCAGCACTAGATCCTCGGCTGATAAACGTGTGTCTCTCTTGTCCACATAGAAAGTGAAAGAGAGGTTCTGACCATAGCTCATCAGCTGATTCCCCAACATATTTGCTGGAAGAAAATACAAGGAAAACCAGTGATTAGGTGTGCAAGCATCTAAGGAAGTGATACCTCTTTAAAGAGTAACTTTATATAATCTCAGATGGTTAAAGGTCTTCAATCTCAGCCACCATCTCCATAAACATTATGCAGCAGCAACATTCAAATCATTGTACTCACTTGTTTTTGAAAAATATGAAATATTATACAATGACTGAATTTACATACCAGGAGCAATGTAGTAAACAGGGAAATAATCGTTAGAGACCACAGAGATATCACGGCTCACTGGGGACCACTGAAGCAGGACCTCAGTACCGTCTCGCTGCTCAGCCCGCCATCTGTCATTGCCTGCATATCCAAAAAGAGAAGTAAACAAAACGCTTCATGCCATACTATAAGCATAACAATGCACTGGCCTTTGGCCTGTTATCACAGTTTCATTCAATGCTGTTGTGCAGGGACTATTTCACTTTGTGCTTACTTGGCAGTACAACATGGATCTTTGACAGATCAACAGGATCCGAATAAAGTACAGTAACCACTGCAGAGTCTGATCGTTTAGAATTGGCTTGGTATGTACTTCGTACAAGAGGCTAGGAACGAGGTCTGAACAAACTAACCCTCCAACCCATGAAAGCAGACCTGAAATCATATCCATTAAGATTGCAGCATGGCTTTATACAAGGTATTCCCTTAACTGTAACAAACATAATTAAAGCAATTGGAAGGTACATCAGGGCAACAGATGATCCAAACAACAGCAGACACAAAAAGGTGTGTGCAAAGTGAATGATTACTGTGTCAATTAATTCCTTTAAAATAAGGCTAAATAAACATGATCCACAGGGCTTAATCATAGGCATAAGTTAAAATATAGACAAATATTTTACGCAATACTTTTTACAATACAACACATTGTACAAAGTCTGCATGGACCCCATTGACAGCAAATATTGGATTAATATCTAACAAGTTTTTTTTCACTACCCTCGGGTATTAGAGATAATCTGTTAGGCACTCTATGGCTTTTATCTCCTTCCTCAGAGGACTGAGAAGATATAGGGAACAAGATAAGAGTGATGTGCAAGTTGGACATGCTCTGCTGGAAAGAATTGAATCAATGGACCAAAAATAATTTCCTTTTTAGTTTAAACTGTAAGTGTTACATACACGAAATAAAGATTTTTGGATTGAATTTTTTTTGCAACTTAGTTTTTAACTGGAGGCTGAGCTGGATGTTACTTGTCAAGTCTGCATCAAGCTCAGTGATACCAAGTCAAATGAGTCCATGGTCAGAGCCAGAAATATGGAGGCATGCACATTAGAAAATCTCAGCAACACCTGTATCAAAGCTTGATGCGATCCTCTCGATACTATAGCCCTCAGCTTTGCTACAAACAGATGAATGACCAAAGCAGAAGCAGGCTGTGCAGCCATGAGGGTTCCGGGGGTCCAAGTTGAAAAATCCTGGTTTGCATCTGTAGAAAAGAAAACTCATTATGAATGTATTTACTACTAACATTTCAAACTAATTTGTTGATTTTTAAGAACCTTGCTAAGTTATTGAATTCTTATCTATGCAACGTAAAAGCCAAATAATCTCGTGATTGCAAAAAGACTAGGCTGTGATTTTATCTTCAATTAAAAAAAACTCAGCCATCTAAGTGGTTTCCTCAGCTACAACTTAGCAATACCCAATTAAAAATTTCAATTAGCTATCTTCATTACTATTGAGTGAAAATGACAAAAGACAATAACATATTTCTGAAGTTACTTCTACTTAAAACTTAGCCATTGAAAGGTTCAACATTCTGGGCCAGTGAACAGCATGTACATTGAGCATTGAAGATGACCTTTCATTTGCACAGATTACAGACAGCAAAAGTACAAGGTGACTTCATGCCCAAAGCGGCAGTAAAGTTGTGGGAGGGACTTCAGTGAAAAAGGAGTCAATAACATGAAGGCCTCAGTTATGAAGAAACATACAGAGCTGAACATGTTTTCAGTGGAGAGAAGATAACTATGGGTGAGACATGATCCGGATCTTTAAAAATGCTGAGACAAATGTTGATATGTATGAGAGTTATTTGACTTGGATCATGGCCACAAAACTAGAGGAAACAGGTTTAAAATTCAGCCTCAAATGAGATGAGAGATTAAATGAATATTTTCCAGTGGTGGAATGTGAGATATATAGAACAGACTCAGTTCCTGTTAAAATTGACGATGCTGAAAAGACTAGGACCTGCATTTATATAACATCTTTCATGACGTCAGCAAAGTGCTTTATAGCCCAACTGGATATTTGTTGAAATTAAAGAAACGTGCAGTAATGTAGGAAATCTGACAGCCAATTTACCCACCACTCAATCATGTGAAAAGCAATAAAAGCTAACACAATTTTTTTCAAAGTGATTTTGGTTGAGGGATAAAACAGTGACTAACAAATATTATTGACACTTGTACCAGAGGATCTTTTCATTTAATGCATGGCAGAAGGCTACACTTTTCCACATTGATACTCAGAAAATACTTGAATTCAGTATAGCTCCCACATGACTTTCAAATCTGGAACCTGACTTCATTTTAAAATCTCTTTACACTTGTAGCAACCTGACAAAACAACAAAACTATTACAAAGGAGCTGCCTGTAAAGTGATTGAATGTAACAACTCCTTTGAACTAAACATGCCTTAAGATAGCTATTTTTAAAACCCTATTCCTCAAACTGATGCAAAATTCTGAGATATCTCTGATGCATCCCAAGGTGTAATATTTTAAAATCCGGAGAATAATCTTCCAAAATTAAGTGATATTTGCAATCGAAAAGGTCAGCAAAGAAGCATTCTGTACTCTGAAGAATTTCAAGGTGGATATTCAGGTAAAACTAGTAGTAGAACCCAAATTGCTATGGATGACTAGTTTAAGGCACTAAGCAAAAGAAGCATTGCCCAGTTGTGGACAGACCCAACAGTTTTCTTTGATCAAGGCTGCAATACAGATAGTACCCATTAGGCCAATTACATTAAGGAGATCCATTCCACAGATGATTCAAACATCCTCTTAAATTGGGTTAATCTCTCATGTAAGTAGAAACACATTCAAGAGACATTGAAGAAATTCCAGCAAACAGTGCAGCATTCCAGAGTGACCTTTAGCAGAGCACTTAACTTTGAAAATCAACAAAATCTTTCAGTATGGAGGCAAGTATTGAACTTGTGCACAGCTAAAAGTCCCACCTCGTTTTTTGCCCAGCCTGATTTTCCCAAGAGCAGAGGAGACGAGAGTGTGTGTCTGCAAACTTGCCCACATCAAGTACCAGGCCAATTAATGCCATTATTGGCTTACTAACTGCCCACCTCCCACAACTTTTCAAATTTTCCCAAAAGGATCCAGAGAGAGCTAGCCAATTTGATACAATATGGCTCAAAGATAGGAGACGGGGGGTGGAGATAGAGGGGTGTTTTTCGGACTGCAGGCCGATGACCAGCGGTGTGCCACAAGGATTGGTGCTAGGTCCACTGTTTTTTGTCATTTATATAAATGATTTGGATGTGAATACAGAAAGCATGGTTAGTAAGTTTGCAGATGACACCAGTGAACAGTGAAGAAGACCTCAGAGTACAACGGTACCTTGATCTGATGGGCCAATGGGCCGAGAAGTGGCAGATGGAACTTAATTTAGATAAATGTGAGGTGTTGCATTTGGCAAGACAAGCCAAGGCAGGATTTTTACAGTGAATGGTAGGGTCCTGGGGAGTGTTGCTGAGGTGCAAGTGCATAGTCCCTTGAAAGTGGAGTTGCAGGTAGAGAGGATGGTGAAGGCATTAGGCTCACTTTACTTCATCGGTCAAAACACAGAGTATAGGAGTTGGGATGTCATATTGCAGCTGTACAGGCCATTGATGAGGCCGTTTTGAGAATACTGCGTGTAATTCTGGTCGCCATTCTACAGTTAAGATGTTGTTAAACTAACGAGAGGTTGCAGAAAAGATTTACTAGGAGGTTGCTGGGACTGGAGGGTTTGAGTTATCAGGAGAGGTTGAATAGCCTGTGGCTTTCTTCCCCAGGAACGTGTGGGTGACCTTATAGAGGTTTATAAAATCATGAGTGACATGAATAGGGTGAATATCCAGGGCCTTTTACCTAGGGTAGGAGAGTCCAAAACTAGAGGGCATAGTTTTAAGGTGAGAGGGGAAAGACTTAAAAGGGGCCTACGAGGCAACAAGGTGATTCAGGTATGGAATGAGCTGCCAGAGGAAGTGGTGGAGACCGTGAAAATTACAACATTTAAAAGGCACCTGGATGGGTGAATGAATAGGAAGAATTTAGAGGGATATGGGCCAGGTGCCGGCAAATGGGACTAGGTCAGATTGGGATAACTGATCGGCATGGACGGGTCGGACCACAGGGTCTGTTTCCGTGCTGGATAATACTATGAGTCAACATTTAGAAGCTATTGAGTCAAACCAGCTGCATGGGAAGCAAGGACATGATTTGGGCAAATTATGAAGTAGCCAGCATTTAAAAATAAAGTAAAAATGTTTTTGAAAGCCAAAAGGCATGAAACATTTGAAGTTACAGCAGTCTATCACAATTAAGGCTCCTGCCTTGAACTAAGAACTTGAAAATTTAGAATAAGGGGTCATCACTATACTGGCATTGTGCGGCTATTGGACAGTGGGCAAAGCTGTTTGGAGTTTGAGCTCCAAGAAAAGGCATATCTGGAAACAGGAGGGGCTGCATCCTCAGAAATCAAAGCCATTGTACTGAATAGCAGCAGCTGGCAAATGAAGGGCAAAATGCCAGGCACCATGAGGCCAGATAGGATAAGGGGCATGGTAGAGAAAGAGACACTGCCTGCAACACAGGATCTACAGGTAGGTGAAGAGACACTGATATAACTGCACACCAGTGCTGAATGAGATTGTGAATTTCTAGGCATATGGTCACAGACACTGTTCCCACCAGTGCACATCTCTGCAGCATCCCACCTGCTGCAGCACAGTGGTGCATCATCCAGATGTCACAGGTCCTCTTTATCATTGTAGGGCAAGACACTGGGACCACCATTGGGCATTGACAGCGTAGAGGGCACTGGGTCCAGCACCGAGTGCGGTTAGCTTGTGCCTTGCAATAGTCTCCTGCAAGAGTCTCTGTCACTTTGGTGGTCTGCTACACTCTCCCTAACAAAGCTCTCCAGAGAGACGTGGTCCAAGAGGGCCGTGAGGCCTTGGAAGGATCAGCTTATCTGGGGAGGAGCAATAAAAGGAGGAATTAGAAGCGGAGAGAGATGGCATTGAACAGAAAGAAGAGAGCACCCCTTGCCATCCTCTAAGCAGCTAGGCAACTGCACAATGGAGAAAGGAATCAAAGGACATGCTGGTACGGTGAGGTAAAGCGAAGTAGAGTAGGAAGTGGCTGTGTGGAACATAAACGCTGACATACATAAACTGGCTTATTGCTGTTCTGTTAATTCTATGTAATCTAATGCAAAATAACAAATAAACAGAGACTGATTTTTTTAAACTAACATTAGAATCACATAACTTCAACAAAAGAACCCATAATCCTACCTCTCACAGTTGAATCCCTCAACATTATTCTTGCACATACAACGCCCTGTATCGACAATGCATTCTTCGGTGCTGCCAGCAGGGTTACAAGCACACGGTCTGCCAGGAGAGAAAGCACGTAAGAAACACAACACCACCTAAACCCGGGAAGTGCTTCTGCAGTTAATCCAAAATTTCTAGAACAGATGGCAAGTGGAGCAACAGCAATTAATGCAAAAGCAAACACTGGAAATACTCAGCTCTTCTTGCAGCATGTGGACAATAAATCAGAATGAACATTTCCAGTCAGTGACACTAAACAACAGAAAAAAAGACTTAGATACTGGAAAATAGAAATTGATGGAAGAACTCTGCAGATCTGGCAGCATCTGCAGATAGAAAGGAGGGTTAATGTTTCAGATCCAGGTCATTGAATCTGAAATGTTAACTCTGTTTTCTCTCCACAGTTGCTACCAGACCTGAAGAGTTTTTCCAGCAATTCCCATTTTTATTTCAAGTCAGTGACCTTTCGACAGAATTGAAAAGCATTATAACTTGGATAAGATGATATCTTATTTTTTTCTTGCTCCATTGCCACTCTATCTTGTCTTGTATCATCAGCTGCTTTTTTATTTAACCATTTGCATTTTTGCTCTATCACAGGCCTTCCCTTTTCTTCTTTCATTCTGTATATTTCCATGTTCTGATGTGACATCTAACTGAAATACCGACTACTCCTCTCTCTGCAGAGGCTGACTGACCTGCTGGGTATTTTTGGCATTTTCTAATTACATGACTAGCAGTTAATGAAGTTACTCTAATGCAGTCAACTATATGGCTATTATCTTATAATGGCAATCGTGATGCCTCATGTGGAAGTGAGACTACAATAGATTATACTTTTGGTTTCATATTTTATAAAATATGGTATCTCAATTAATACACAGCAAACAAGCATTTGGTGATTTTAAGAACATTAAGACGGGTCAAGAAGTCCTCAAAACCTCAAACCAAGCTCACTCTTGGAAGAGGGAAACTGAGTATTTCTAGTTACCATAAATGTCATAGTACAAGTCAACCTTTGAAGCCTCCAAAACTGATTGCATTGTTATTCCAAGTTGTGCATGGAATAAAAAAATGTGAATTGCCACAAGAATATGGTTGCTGATATTTTGAGATGCGAAGAAGAAATACATAGCTAATTCATATTAATGTGGCATGATATATTGAATAAATTAATTACATAAGGATACCTTTAATTGCAATGAAAAAGTGTTTCAAAACCACACAAGACGACAAGCAGGATAGCATGAATATTTGTGCACTCTGAAGGGTTTTTTCCCCTCCATCAACCTATTCCATTGCGACAAATGTGATCTTCTAATTGCTTTTTGGGGGAAATATTTGAATCTCCTGGTATAACCACAATGCCAGTGTTATTCCTTCAGAGGCATCTCTGGATCTCAACAGGTCCCACAAGCTCTACTCTTTACATAATCCACTGTGCTGCCCATTATCAAATTCATAACTTGACTCAATCCTCATCCAGCTAATCATTGTCAGGCATATGTATTAAAAACATCTGCAGGGATTTTTTGTTTTTTATGTATGGTATTACATTTGAAAATGGCCATTGCCTTTAATTTCATTCTGTCAACAGTACAGTTACTACCATTGAGTCTTAACTGCTCACATCCTGTAGTTTTCACTAAAACTGCTTTTCATCCATTCCAATGCAGTTTTGTAGCTGAGCAAGAAAAAATCATGGGCATTTCATCTATGTTGCCCATGTAACATAATGGGTACTTTTCCCTTGGCACTGTCTAATGAAGAATTGCTATAAACTGACAGTAGTCTGAGTAATGTTAATCTTCTGCTACAACACTAGACACTATTTCATAAAGGAACCAAGTAGCTATTTCTCTGAAATCTTTGCTGGACTTGGGGTTTGATTTATATATAAAAAGTATATATCAAGTGACACTGAAACTATTCTGACAATTTGAGGAATATGCTTCTCAAGATCAGACCACTGGGTGGTCCCAGAATTCTCTTGCTACAGCAGAGTTTTTTTTAACAAGTTAGCATATGTTATGACTTTGAATGAAACCAGTTTTATAATTCATTTATTTTGTTGTAAGACTCATTTCTTTTTGTTGTTTGCCATGTGGAGCCCGCTCTGTACGAGTGTCTTAAACTCATACATTTTCACTATACAACCTGAATTGTCTGCTTGATCCCTTGTGCCTGATTAAAACACAAATAAAACATCTAGTTGCAAGGCATATAATTAATGCTACTGTTGTGATTGAATAGGAGGCTCGAATTACATGCAAAACATGATTGCTAGGGCTGGAAATATGGGGCCATCTTATACACCAAGCAACTTATGCACTGTCACTGTTATTTCCTTTAGAATGCAAAGAGGTATTGATGACAGTCCCACTTCAACTTAACATCAGCTCATTGTAGATTAGCCTATTTATTCAGAGTTCTTTTCGGCACAGTTCTCCCTCCTTTTCCTGCAGTTAGTGACTCCTTGCTTGGCTACAACTCCAGGAACATTTTGCTTCCTTACCAAGGGGGGGAATTACTTTCACAAGACTCAGACTAGCCAACTCAATCTTTTCTGTATCTAACAGCAGAAACTTAGTTTTACAAATAATCTACATTAGTGTTAATCTGAGCACATGGGCTACTTGGTAGCCAGAAATGTAATGTTGCCTATGGAGTATCTCCTGTTGCTCTAATAGTATGGGAAGTCAGTGATGCTGACATCAATGACGTGCACCCAGAACAAGAAGTGTAAGAACAAACTGAGTGAGATTGGAACTGAACTAGCAATTTGCACTGCTGCTTTTGGGAGAGAAAGTGGCAATGTTTTCCATTAAAAATTTCTTTCCATTCCATCGCCATCCTCCCAGGAAGCTGCTGTTTGATCACTTGCTCTTGAACCGGGACTTTTCCATCAACAGCTGCTGCACCTGCACTGAGCTCGTTCCGTGTGTCTCAGTTACTGCATTTCCTAAATTTTACAGCACACTGCACGCAGGACACTGCCTCTGCTGCCACCTGTGCGCATATTGGGGGCCAGCCCAGCAGTGCCTGAAAGTGGAAGTGGCTCTTTATTTTCATGCAAAGGTTTAGTGCATGGGAGCATCAATTCAAAATCCTTTTCTACTCACTCATTCAGAAACCTCAAATTCTCACTCTGCAGGACTCTAAACCTACATGCATATGCTGTTTTCGTCCTGAGAGGCACTGATCTTGAATGCAGCCATCAGTTGAATCAATTAACACTAAATACCAGCAAATGCTAATATAAAACGGATGTCGGTTGAGATTTTTCTGTGTATAGAGGTGTTAACTATTTGAAAGAAACACACTGATGCCACCAATAAAGAGGAGATCAGGGACTGATATATATTCACATTAATCATTTGCGGGCTATTAATAACTAACAGCAGTTTCTACTGAAATGATTAAAACCTACAGAAAACATTGCGTGGAGGGGAAGGGTAATCCACAAACACAATATCTGTATTAAATATTAGTGAGCAGTTAGATGCTTATCATTGTAAGCAGCTGTCAAAAATAAGTTAATCATCTATTACCTTCATCACTGGAAATGCATGAAGAGCAAAGAAACTACAAAACCGCATACTTCCAATTACCTGCATCCTGCTTCAGTTAGTGAGTGGTAGCCAGGCTGGCAATGGTCACATTTATCTCCCATCACTCCTGGTTTGCAGCTGCACCGGCCATAGATATCACATTGTGTGCTGATTGAACCTTGAAAGCAAATGAAAGCAATATTAATCATTTATGTAGCAAGTACAGCAAATAAAACAGGAAGGCAAATGGAATATGCTTATTTATTACAAGCAGAGTGGAATACAAAAGAACAGATGTGGTTTCACCAACATCCTGAGTACAATGTACAGTTCTTGTCTTGTTAGAACTAGTTCAGAGACAGTTTATTTGCCTGATCCCTGGGGGGAGTTATTTTATGAGGAAGGGCTGGAAAGGTTGGGCCTTTATCCATTACAATTTCTATTTTCCAAAGCAGGCTCCCAAATTAGACTTTCAGTGATTGTCTGCACCATTTCCTGAGATTCCTCAGCCTGAAAAGCTGGTGTGAAGGTGCCAGCATATGCAAAGTGCCATGACTTTCCGAGAGGGAGGTAACCGATATATATTCTGATGAGTGCTGCCAAGAAGATTGATTCCCAAGAGAGGGCACTGCTGGCTGTGCGTCAGCAACTAGATCAATCCCCAAGCTTCACATGGAAATTTCAGCTCCTGATCAGGGATATCATTGTTTAGTTTTCATGCAGATGAGTTTGGAGCATTTCAGTCGCATGCCTCTACTCCATACTGACGTTCGTACAAAATTAAGACAGTTCCTGTTAAAGCCCTTGGTGGAAACTGGTCTCAATATATGCCATCAGAAATTGCTTGGAACAGATGAGCACCGTCGAAAACTTTCCTGTTTGTTATGTTCTGATGAAGAGTCTCCAGACTTGAAATGTTTACTCTGCTTTTAGTCCAGCAGATGCTGCCAAACCCGCTGAGTTTTTCCAGCGATTTCGGTTCTCTGTAGCATTTGCAGTCCTTTCTTTCATTTTACTGTTTGCAGGGCATTGGGTCTTCCAGGGTGGAACTGCAATGCCCTCGAACAAGAAAATTTTCGATGTAATGAATTTTCAGTGCAGCTACGGACATGGTTGGGAGCAGTAGACTCTTATCAAACATTGGATTCAGTTTAAAGTGTTCATGTTAATGTGGTTGATTCTCAGCTGCCCTCTGGACAATTAGGGATAGGCAATAAATGCTGCCTAGCCAGAGACGCCTTCATCCCATGAATGAATAAAGAAACAAACGTGACCAGAATGGGAGACTGACATTTTGCAAATTCAACAGCACAGCTACAGAACCTGTACAGGGTTGCAATCTAATATCTTATAAAATAAATAAAAGAAGATAGAGACAGATGCAAATAGAGATACATTCATTAGATTGATTCATCTTCATAGTCTCAAAGGAATGAGACCTTTTAATTCTTTGGACTCCACCACCATGTCATTTTGTATTCCTAGTTCAACGAGATTTCAGATCTTCAGGGAAGCGAAGTTTGTAAATTAACCAAAGCTTCTACATAGCCAAAGCTTTGCCATAACCAAACCTGTACAAAGCACATCATTGAGGCATTTTCCCCAAGATGTTATGGTGCAACAACTGTGCACACAATTACCAAAATAAATTCTGTTTTGAACAGTTCTGCACTCACCCACTGGGTTACAATTGCACGGCAGACATTGGGCTTCCGGGCCCTGGCGGTAGAAATCATCCCGACACCTCTCACAGTTGGGACCATCAGTATTCTCAATGCAGTTGCGGCAGTGCCCACCGTGTCCGGTGGCTCGGTAGAGCTCGGAGTCGAAGTAACATTCTGCAGATTTGCCGTGGCAATTGCAAGCTGAAGTAGAAATTGTAAAACAAATTGCTCAGATCATCATACAAAGCACTAGCAGATCTTCCTCACTACAAAACAGTATCCTGGTCAATCTTTACCCCTAAATTAACATGGCTATAAACAATTATTTAGTCACTATGACACTATTTATGGAACCTAATTGTATGCCAGCTGTGATGACTACAATGGGTCAACAACTGCAATTCAGAAGTAATTAGCTGATTATAAAGCACTTCCAATCATCCTGAGGATGAGAAAGAAAGGAGTAACAGGAATACAGAGTACTGGGCTAATGGTAAGATTCTTGGTAGTGTGGATGAGCAGAAAGATCTCGGTGTCCATGTGCATAGGTCACTGAAAGTCGCCACCCAGGTTGATAGCGTTGTTAAGAAGGCGTACAGTATGCTAGGTTTTATTGGTAGAGGGATTGAGTTTCGGAGCCACGAGGTCATGTTGCAGCTGTACAAAACTCTGGTGCGGCCGCACTTGGAGTATTGCGTACAGTTCTGGTCACCGCATTATAGGAAGGATGTGGAAGCATTGGAAAGGGTGCAGAGGAGATTTACCAGGATGTTGCCTGGTATGGAGGGAAGGTCTTATGAGGAAAGGCTGAGGGTCTTGAGGCTGTTTTCGTTAGAGAGAAGAAGGTTAAGAGGTGACTTGATAGAGACATACAAGATGATCAGAGGATTAGATAGGGTGGACAGTGGGAGCCTTTTTCCTCGGATGGTGATGGCTAGCACGAGGGGACATAGCTTTAAATTGAGGGGTGATAGATATAGGACAGATGTCAGAGGTAGGTTCTTTACTCGGAGAGTAGTAAGGGCATGGAATGCCCTGCCTGCAAAAATAGTAGACTCACCCACTTTAAGGGCATTTAAATGGTCATTGGATAAACATATGGATGATAATGGAATAGTTTAGGTTAGATGGGCTTCAGATTGGTTTCACAGGTCGGCGCAACATCGAGGGCCGAAGGGCCTGTACTGCTCTGTAATGTTCTATGTTCTATATGTATCCAATACTTACGTTTTAAAATAAACCACCCAAATAAAACATGGGATAAAAACAGAAAGTAAGGAGGGCTCTGGTGATGCAATGTTAGTGCCTCTACCTTTAAACCAGGAGGCTGGTGTTCAAGTCCTACCTGCTCCAGACATGTGTCCTGACGCATCTGAACAGGTTGATTATAAAATATCTAAAAACAAAGAGAGCTGGAGAAACACAGCAGGTTTGTCAGCATTTGTAATGCTTTGAGTCAGATATGACTTGGACTCAAAACAATAACTTCATTTCTCTCTTCACAGATGATCAGAACTGCCGAGTTCTCCACCAGTTTGATTTTCTTTCACAGAGACACAAGCAGTTCAGTGCAGGAGACCACCATTCAGAGCTCTTTATCTAGCTTCAGTATCTAGTGACAATCTTCTCCTTATCACCCCATACCCTTGCACATTATTTCTATTCAAACAATAAGCCAATACTTTTAGAAATGTCAGATCTCTTATTTTGCTTTTGTAACATCTCATAAAGGTTGGAGGAAAAATATTAGTGTGAATGCAGTATCAGCAAGAGGTCAAATAATAGAGGAGAAATAAACAGAGAGAAACAGATTTCACATTTGAGGTTGATGACCTTTCACTAGAACCAATGTTAACTCTTTCTCTTTCAAAAGACACTGCTTTATTTTCAGATTTCCAGCATTAGCAGTATGTCACTTGTGTGAAAATGAATGGGACATTATCAGGTTCTATTGCAGTGGGGTCCCACAAGGACCAGCGTTAGAGCCTCAGCCATTTATAATCTACATAATGACTGAAACAAAGGGTGGAGGGCAACCTATTCAAGTTTGCTGATGATACAAAATGTGGGAATATAAGCCATGAGAAAGATGCAAAGAGGCTCTCAATGAATACAAATCCATGCTAGAAAGTGGCAGATGGAGTACAAAGGAACTCAAGGGCCATATAGTCTAACCCTGCTATTCCTTATGTTCTTATTTAAGTCCTTAAACAACTTCTGACTCATTAAAAACACATAACAATATAATTCATTATAATTCAATGTTTAGGATATGCAATGAATCTTCCCTCATCTATTTCCTGTAGTTTATATTATCTTTGAGCCTTGGCATGGAGGAGAAAGAGATATAAATATTCATCTAATAGCCTTCATGATCACAGGACCTTCTGAAGTACTTTGCAGGCAACTATATAGTTGCTGTTCAAATGTAGAAAACACCCCAGCAAATCTCTTATATGATAAATAACCATGTCAATTTTTACCTTAATTTGACATTGGTCAATAAATATTGGACCCAGGATACCTGGAAAAATTCCCCTGCTACTCTTCAAAATACATGAGGTCTTTTAGATGCAGCCAAGAGAACAGTTGTTCTTTAATACATCCACTGAAGGACACAACTCAGAGTGCAACACTCACTCAATGCAGGCACCAGCAAAAATCAGTAGATTACATGGCTCCAGTCTTTGGAGTGGGAGCTTGAGCGAGCCCATGACTGTCCTACTCAGAGTTAATAGAAGAGGGACACAGCATGTGGGGGAAGAGGGAGTGCGCAAGCAGGAAACAGCATGAGAGACAGGCAGAGGGGCAGGCAGGGAGGGTGAGCACAAGGGGCAAACAGAGAGGGAGACACAGACAGTTTATTGGTAATAATCACTCAACTCATAATCCAGAGTACCAGGCTAATGCTTTGGTGAGAAAGACTCAAATCCAGTCATGGAGCTAGCCTATAGAAGACTACATAGCAGAATCAGCACTACGGTAGCTAAGGTGCTCTGCCACCCTTTTTTTGTTTCCTTTGCTTCCCATGTTAAACAAAACTTCAGATTGTCTCCCACAAGGAATATTAAAAATCTTCCTACTCTGGGAAATCCATTGCCAGGATTTGCACAAGGCATCACCATAAGCGAATAATATCACGTTATTGGGATGATCCAAGACCAAGAACTTCAGCATTCAATTTTCTATCTGCAATTTTAAAAAAAATCTACCTATCAACAGGTGCTTCACCTTTGGATTTTTGGTTACCTTTGGTAAATTACCTCCTGTCTTCCCAATACCTTGCATTTCAGGAATGTTATGAATATTCTGGACTTAGATGGATGGAGCTCCAAGTACAATGCAGGACAGACTACCCACCTCATTGAAAACCAACTGAAACCTTCAAGATTTAATTCTTTCACCACCAATGTACAATGGCAGCAGAGTGTACCATCTAAAGATGCATTGCAAGAACTATACGAGGTTTCTTTGACAGCACCTTTCAAAGCCAGGACTTCCACTACCAGGACAAGGGCAGCAGATGCCTGGGAATACCACCACTTGCAAACTCCCTTCCAAACCACGCACCCTCCTGGAAATATACCACCATTCCTTTAGTGTTGCTGGGTCAAAATCCTGGAGCTCCCTTCCTAACAGCACTATGGGTGCCTTCACACTGCAGGTACTACGGTTATCCAAGGTGGCTGCTCACTGCAATCTTCTCCAGGGCAATTAGTAACACATTATGGTATCTTGTTCCTAGTCATGGCCACATGCTGGTAAGGAGGTAAGCAAGAATTGGCAAATGAGATCAGAACCTTCAGAGGATCAATTTTTTTTTTAAAAACCTTGCCCGTTAACACCATATCCAGGATTTTATTCCCACCAAATGCTGTCATTCATTTATTACAGTTTTATATACAAAACTTCAAAGAAGTGAAACTTGATACACCATCCATAAACTTTCCTATTATACCCAAGAAAGAGATTTCTCAGGGACATGTGCCAGTTGAGCAGGATGGGTTGGGGAGTTGGGTATAATCAGTGAAAATGCAACTGTAGAATTTTTGTTTGAAACTTTCATCTACAGAATGTCCCATTGATCCCCAAAATCAGTTCACTAAAATGCTGAAAACAGCTAATTTCTTTCCAACTAGTTCTGAACTTAGAAACGCTTAGTGCTGTTGTGACATGGTTTTAATCTTATCAACTATTACAAACTATACTTTCAAGTTGCAGATCATAGAATCATCATAGAATTCCTACAGTGTGGAAACAGGCCCTTCAGCCCAACAAGTCCACACCAACCCTTGGAGCATCCCACACAGACCCATCCCCCGATAACCCACCTAATCTACAGACCCCTGAACACTACAGGCAACTTAGCTTAGCCAATCCACCTAACCTGCACATCTTTGGACTGTGGGAGGAAACTGGAGTACCCAGAGGAAACCCACGCAGACACGGGGAGAATGTGCAAACTCCACACAGACAGTCGCCCAAGGGTGGAATTGAACCCAGGTCCCTGGCGCTGTGAGGCAGCAGTGCTAACCGCTGAGCCACGGTGCCGCCCCAGATGGTGGAAAACACCTCCACTTCTAGAGGAAGCAATGTTTCCTTTGGAGATCCTACAGATCAGCGCTCCCAAAGAGAAAACATCAATAACTACAATATACACAATGAGGCACTATCTTTATAGATTGGGTTACTGGATTGTGGAAATTTCTGCATAAATGTGATTGTAGAGTCCGCAGATCCTTTTGAAAAGTAAATTATATAGTTGCCTGAAAAAGAACTATAAAGGAAAAATGTGCGGCGTGAACAAGAATGTAGGATTAGACCAGGAAGCTCATGAAACAAACATCGATCTGAGAGGCTAAATGCGTATTTTATCTGTGGTAATATTCTCCAGGGGTAATTTGGCTTTTCATTCTATTACCTACATACTGTACAATGGATCTGTCTTTTCAAACTCCTTTTCAGTTTCAGTCCGATTTAATATAAACTCAGAAATCCTTCAGTGAGACATGCAGCTAATGACTAAGAGCCTGAATGGAACTTTCAGCCATAATTAATACTGAGGGGGAGAGCAAGGAAATAGCAGGAAAATGGAATGGAAAAAATTACCCAAATTCCAGGTTTCAACAAAGAAGGATTCAAGAAACAAATCCTAAGCAAGGTTTCCTAAATCAGACCCGGATGCTGCATATTTCAACCCCGATTCCCTCTGTAGAAACCCTATGGTTCTTCATAGTGCTGCTTTTTTTTTTTATATACAAGTCATCAACAGTTTATATAAAGCTCTCAGATATGAAAACAAAATTGATCACTAATCACCTGTAATGATAAGTTAATTTTTCTTCAAGTAAATGGAGAGAATATTTTGCTGAATATTCATATTGAAAGAATGCTATGCACAATTCAATACTTACACAGACACTCATTTGGGTTTTCTGCTGTAGCTCTGCGCCAAGGTCGGTCATTGTAGAATGGCTGGCAGCTCTCACAATCCACTCCCATTGTGTTGTGTTTGCAATTGCAGACCAGTTTATTGAATTCATTCTTTATACATTCACTGGCATGGCCATGACACTTACACCTGTGGTGGATCAAAGAAGAGAGATGAGGAAAAAGATGATCAATAACCAAACAAAGCAAATACCATCACAGATTTTGTCCTGAAAAAAAGGGCAATGGTTTAGAAGCACAATCCCAAAAGGTAGCAAAAAAGATAGATAAAAATGAAAGTTGATATGCAGATACCATCGTCTGAGCATAGGATCAATCTTGATTTAAAAATAAATGTCACTTCATGAGTCTCTAGATAAACTATGGCCCTGCAAAAATGATGGCAAAATAGCCAAAGCCTCTTCACATTTACGATCATGATCATCTTCATGCTTTCAAACTAATGCAGTACATCTTCCATATGCTCATTACATCCATAACCCATAATTAACAAGCAACTGTACGTTAGTTAATGCCGGATGATGCCAACAGTGCATTCATTATATTCACTCTGAACTGAAATCTATTCTGTTAAGTTTTTCATCAGTGTTCAACTGGAACAATGGAACATGGGATTCAAGCCAACCCAATCATATTTATGCCTATATCTTCAAAGTAAAGAATCACTCCTGGAGTTGCATTGAATGAGATGCAGGGAGTATAATCTACTCAAAACAGATAAGCAATTCAGTGCTGAGGAAGGGTCACTGGACCTGAAACTTTAACTCTGATTTCTCTCCACAAATGCTGCCAGACCTGTTGAGCTTTTCCAGCCATTTATGTTTTTGTTTGTGAGCAATTTTTAACAGTTTGCACAAATTACTACTGACCTAATTAGCCACTTTTCCACTGATTTCATTTGAGCAAGAATGTGAATTCTGTCTCAAAGCTAGTTTTATTTAAACACACTTAGAATGGGAAGTAAATTGACTGGATTGAAAAAACAAATACTCCAACAAAAACAAAAGAAAACTCAATGATAATTGGGCGTAGGTTTTCTTCTGATAAAAACGTAATCTTCTTTCAGAGTGAATGCATCCTGCAATTTAAGATCTTAACTTATTTTGTCTCTCATCTGCTTAAATCTACATTTTCTATCATCAACCACAAACAGTGTGATTTTACAGTTAATCAGAGTCCACCGAAATGTGCGATTTTTGTTTTCCTTTTATTTTCACTACATATTTCTGTGAATTAACTTATATTTCCAAGTTTTTACCTGGATTTGAAGATTACTTAGAACTCATGAATGTTAATATGTCTGAATACCTATGTTAATTAAAACAAAAGCTCTCTCATATTAGTTAAAAGAAAACTTTTGAATTCATTGGACCAAAGGAGTTCAAAGTTGTTAATACTGGTTTTCTAACAACTTACTGGTGAATCCTGGCTTGTTATTCACTTATTAGATATTAGACTCACATAATTAGCCATTTTGATCACAAATTGATGTGGATACCCACTGGCTGCATTTTTGTAGATTCCTACATTCGGTGATAAGGTTAATCATTATTTCTTCATTTAATATGATGGTGCTGAATTAGCTGAAGTAACACTTGCCTGCAAATATTTAGAGGGACTGTAAATTCCAATCCACATAAATAAAGTTAGGTCACATGGATTCAGAGCGAGCTTGCCAATTGGATACATAATTGGCTTAATGGCAGGAGACAGCGAGTAACGGAGGAGGGTTGTTTTTAGGACTGGAGGTCTGTGACCAGCAGTGTTCCACAGGGATCAGTACTAGGTCCTCTTTTGTTTGTCATTTATATAAATGATTTGGATGAGAATACAGAAGGCATAGTTAGTAAGATTGCAGATGACAGCCATATTGGTGGCATTGTAGACAGTGAAGAAGGTTTTCTAAGATTACAGAGGGATTTTGATCAAATGGGTGGATGGGCTGAAAAATGGCAGGTGGCGTTCAATCTGGATAAATACGAGGTATTGCGTTTTGGAACAACAATGTTAGGGCTTATACAATTAATGGTATGGCCTTGGGTAGCATTGTAGAACAGAGAGACCGAGGGTGCAAGTATATAATTCTTTAAAGTTTGCGTCATATCTGGACAGGATGATTAAGGCGGCGTTTGGCATGCTTGCCTTCATTGCTCAGTCCTGAGTATAGGAATTGGGACAGTATGTTGAGGTTGTACAGGACATTGGTGAGGCCATTCTGGAATACTGTGTCCAGTTCAGGTTGCCCAGTTATAGGAAGGATATTATCAAGTTGAGAGGGTTCAGAAGAGATTTACCAGGATGTTGCCAGGTATGGAAGGTTTGATTTGTAAGAAAAAGGCTGGATAGGCTGAGACTTTTATCACTGGAGCGTAGGAGGTTGAAAGGTGACCTGACAGATGTTTATAAAATAATAAGAGGTATAGACAGAGTTGTTGGTAGTTGTCATCTTTTCCCTAAGGTGGGGAATTTCAAGACTAGGTGGCACATTTTTAAGGTGAGAAGAGAGAGATTTAAAAACGTCGTAAGAGGAAAATTTTTTTTTTTTTTTTTAAACAGAGGGTGGTTGACGTGTGGAATGTATTTCCTGGTGTAGTGGAGGAGGTGGGTAAAATTACAAGATTTAAAAGACATTTGGATGGATATAAGAATAGGAGAGGTTTGGAGCGATATGGGCCAGGAGCCGGTAGGTTGTTGGAGATCAACTATAGAGAGGTCTTCACTGTGAGACTCAAGCAGCTCTTCAACATCCTCAGTCTCCACTTCTTCAAATGCAACTTGTTTTGCAAAGATCAACAGAATGTTCTTCGATTCTTGAGAGCTCTTCTGACGGATCAAAGCCTTTAAAATCTTGAAAAAAATCTGGGAGAAGTTTCCGCCAAACTGCGTGCAAGCAGTCCTTACTGACATCACCTCAGGCCTCCACAATAATGTCAATTGCATTCTTGATGTTAAAGCTCTTACAAAATTGAAGAACACTGTCTTTATCCTCCTCAGTAGCTGCAATCAGCCTCTTAAATGTGTGCATTAAGTAATAAACTTTAAAAGCTGCTATTGCATCCTGGTCCATGGCTTGAAGGACAGAGGTTATATTTGGAGTAGAAATAGTACTTTGATGTTTTCAGAAAGCTCACCAATGGTGGGAAGATGGCTTGGGGCATCATCCGGGATAAGGAGAATCTTTACATCTGAATTTTTTTTTCCTGCAATACTTTCCAAAAACATCTTCCAAAACATCAACAATAAGGTCACCGATGCAATTGCATTAGGGCCAACACAAGTTCACATTTTAGAAATAGCGCTCCCCTGTTCGTCAGTCACATTATAGCCAATTCACATTGCCGGAATATGTGTTGTAGCAGAACCCTCCGTATTTGCCTTTTCTTGGATCGCTTTTCACAGGCAAAGATAACCCTTGTGAATTCAACACTTTTCACCTCTTTCCGGCACTTGAAAATCAGTCATATTTATTAAAAATAAATTGCTGCTACTTCCTAACAGTAAATAACAATTACACAGGAACAGTAACTCTTAGCCTGTCTTGTCACCTTTAATGACTGATGCTTATATGCACTCAGGTCCCTCTGCACTCCCTTCAAAGTTACACCATTTATTTTTGTGTCATCTTGTTTTCTTACAGTCAAAATGAATCAATGCTCATTTCTCTATATTGAGCTTCATCTGCAGCCCATCCACCACTTTTCTATGTCCTTTTCAAATTCTACAATTATCTATATTTTAGGCTGGCTACTCTAGGTTTAATAAATCTGATTATTGAATAATAAAAGTTGTTTAGAAGATTGATTAAGGTGCAGGGGTTAAACATTTGTTTAATATCCTTTAATTAATATTCTTTCCAACTATTCATCATTTTGCTGGAAGGCTTTTTTCTGTTTATGTTTAAGCTGTCTTTGACAAAAGGCATTCTGCTAAAATGTCAGCAAAAGATTGTGGATGCTCGAAATCTGAAATAAAAACAAAAAATGTTGGAGAAACTCAGCAGGTCTGGCAGCTTCTGTGAAGACATTAACCAAGTTACTGTTTCAAAATCAATATGACTATTCTTCAGAACAGTCTCAGCATCAATTAAGTATTAAGTTGCACCAATTGTTTTCATTCTAAAAGGCTGAAGTGAACAAAATCAGCTATGGTGAAGAATCCAGTTTCCATTTAATATATAGGTGCTAAATCCTAAGTCATTCAGATAGTATTTTGAATGTACACTAAGGTTCCACTTAACGTTGCCTCGTTTTATGGTGGTTCACTCTATTGTCGGACAGTTGTTGGGACCATTTAGCATGTGTGCTCCATTTTAAAATGCTTTCACACTGGTCTGATATAGGGCTACACGACGTAACTGACATCACTTTGGAGTAAACTCTCCTGTTTCCTGAAACATTAACTCTGTTTTCTCCTTCACAGATGCTGCCAGACCTGCTGAGCTTTTCCAGCAACTTTGTTTTTGTCTCCTGCTTCCTAATCCTTTCTCACATCTCAACTTGGGCCTGCTGCCCCATCCCCTGGTAACAAGCCAGGCAGAATTGATAATAGGTCACATGATCTCCTTCACTGCGCTCTCTTACCATTTAAGATCAAGTTCCAAAAAATCATAACCTGATAAATCCTCACATTCACTTCACATCTGCATCATTGCATTTCTTAAAAAAATACACATTATACACTTATTTCTTTATCATTGCTTGTATTCTGATCAACTAGCAGTTGTGATGTGCCTGAATATTCACTACCAGCATTAATACCTCAAGCTACTTCACGACAGAAATAGCTGTGTTGATTGTGATTGCCATCACCAGTTGCAGCAGTGCTCACAAGTGAATAAGAACATGGGTTTGCAGGGCCATGCCATTGCAAAGCAGCCAAATGGCAGCTTCCAGGAACCACATCTGTTTCTTGACAGTCAAGGTATTTCTAGGGTTTGTAGCCTACACGTTTCCAGAGCTATCCAGTCCAGCCACTTCTTTCGCCCAAGCCAAGAGTTCACTGACGTGGATCCAGAAACAATACACATTACAGTCTATCGGCAGCGCTGACACTGCACATGCTCCATATATCTTTTGGGTACTATTCCTGAGCATAACCCTTCACCATGGCAAATGATGGCAGGGTGAAGAG